CGAGGATTTACACGGGACAAGTGATTCCTCCAAGGTGTTCATAATAACCTTACTTGGTCCGGTTGAAGCGTCAATTATTTTTTGATCAACGACTCCTTTAGTAATAAAACTATGATATAGAGTTTTATGATTTAGTCGTCTTTTTTTCTAAAAATATTTGATCTTTTCACTAGTCTGCATTAATTTCTGTTGTTGGCATTATTCTGAGTGTGCATGTGGTCGACTAATTTAAACTGCGTAAATGTAGGATACCCAATCCCTTGTCCTGAAGATATTTAATTTGTTGAGTAGGACTAATGGGTCAAATACAATTTGAAAACGTCCATTTGACGCCTCCATGCTCTTTTCGTCGCCCTGAATTTACTATTTCTCTATTGTCATTGTCACTGCTTGGTTGCAGACCTTTCCAGAGGCCAATCATTTGCACACAAACAGCGGATTAGCTGAGCTCGATTTTGTCCAGCATGTCTGCTCTCTTATACGTAATTATGTAGAATTCCCGAGTCATAGTATGAATAAAATTTGTGCTTCAGAACGGGCTTTATTGACCAATCACGAGCCAGAGCCACACGTCAGAGCCTTCCATCCGAGTCCACCACGCTGGCCACACTGCTCAATATATACTGCACCTCGGTCGCGTCCTTCTCTGGTTGGCTGCCTTCCTTTCCCGCAAGCCGTTGGATCGCAGAGAGACACAGGATTGGCTGAGGCCAGGTGGTCCAACATGTCTGCGCCCTAATTCGACGCCACACCACACAACACACATAATTGCTGTTCTCTGGCGACTTGCGCTTTTTCTTTAATGGGTGACCCGATAGCTAGTCGCTGCAAGGACGTTAACGTTTTATCAGATTGTTCTGGGAGTTCCAAGCAAGTACAAGGGTTTTATGATTCAGCTGCAAAAAATCCGATAAACTCTTCTTTAGATCAACGTAGTAGATCACGCATTTACTACTTGCGCAATTTAAATAACTGGGTAAAGAGTACTGTGATTGCTGACTTTCTTGATAAACTACATGACAAAAAAACTGGCCAACATATTAGGGTCTTAGACGTTTGCTGTGGAAAGGGTGGAGACCAGCTGAAATGGCTTAAAGGCCGCGTCGATCATGTAACGTTTGTGGATATTTCCTCTGCATCTATCGACATATGCAAGCAACGATATACCTCTCTAGTTAACAGAAATGGTCATGGTCAGGTATTTTCGGCGGAGTTTATTGTTCATGATTGCACCAAAACGCTTCAATTGAAAATGAAGTACGACCTGGTTAGCTGTCAGTTTGCTCTTCATTATGGATTTGAGAGCATTGGTCAAGTAAGCCTTCTTGAATTATTGCCATCGTGGACTTTTCCATACATTATATTTCTTTTTGCGTTCCTTACATTAATTTGTCAGACAGTTGAAGGCCAATTGTATTTGTACGTAGACTTGACCATTCACGTAATGGTGAATTTTACCAAACGGTGTCTTGCCGTCTATTTGCTAAGTTACGTATTCATTGAGTAAGTGTACACCTGATTGGTAAGAGATAACTAAACGCTGTGGGCAAGTGAGTCCCCCCCGGATTTCAAATGTACACCTTATGCTAATCGGTTAACTTTCAAAATAGTTACTTATATCACTTTGAATGTGATTATTCATTCCTGGGAGTTTTCAAAACTACGTTGTTACTTTTAAATCGTGACAGGTGATATTTTTCTTTGACCTATTATCAAGTTTGCCACCATATTATCGATATTGTTATCAACAATAATTTTTTAGTATTAATAGTAGTAGTAGTGTGTATACGTATTATTCAATGTCTACTCCTTTAATGGTAGGTAGCATGCAGATCTGCAGTTTGGGTGTAAATGAGACAATCACCTATGTTCATCAGATAATTGTGCAAAAACGTGTCCTTAAATCAGCTTAAAATCATTTATATTAAGTGGTGAAATACTAGAATGCTGAAGAAGATATCGTGGAATTCCGGGAAAATTCGCTTTAACGCCTGGAGGGTCATTTGTTTTGGATTTTCCCATTAAATAAAAATGCCAATTTGAAAAATACCTGACGGAAGTTGTTAAAACGTTACAGACGTTTATTTGGTTCGCTTTTTCAGTAGTACAGAGCCAAGCATTTGTGATTGTTAAACACTACCTGTGGATTTTAAAAGGATATTCCACAATGTCATTTGCCATCTCCAAGTCTAACTACACTGTTTGATTATGGCCTTTGCGTCTATCTCTGTAGACCGCAATTTTTTGTATAATCGGATTAAAAGCAAGTGTTCATTCCAAAGTCGTTAGCGGTGTCACAGTTACTTCTGTTATCTTGATGTCAACGAGTGAAACAACCAGTCGCGTCTGGTTTAACATAACTCGTGTCAGATTTGCAGAATGGAAATCCGTGCTGCATGCCCTTACGGTATAATTTGATCGGGTTTTGATTACGTACATTACCGAATAGCATTGGTTGGGCCAATACAAACATGAGCCACATTTAAATCAATTAAAACGACTCTTTTCGTCGCCAAGTTCTACGCCATATGCTTGCATTTTTTTATTTAAATGGTTATTCCTTTTGGTTCAGACGACCTACTAAGTACAAAATAGTTTTTTTTCTAGTCAATGGATTTTGAATGGTTTCAGTAAGAACATAGGGTGTCTAATAATTGAGATTCGAAAATGTCTTGTTCTAGCGTTAATGGTGGTAAGAGCACTAACCTACTCATATTTGTGACTTTTTCTGTAACAGGCCCGAATTATGCTACACAATGTAAGTTCAGCTTTAAAAGAAGGAGGATACTTTATTGTTACACTACCAAACGCCTACGAAATTGTCAGCAGACTCTCTCGAAGCAAGAATAAAAGGTCTTTCGGGAACTCGATCTACACAATTACCTTTGATGAGCCCTTCGAACCAGACCAACCCATGCCTCTGTTTGGGGCGCGCTACCATTTCCAGCTAGAAGGCGTCGTCGACTGCCCGGAGTATTTAGTCTATCCCCCTCTGCTTAGAGCCATGGCCGAAGAGGTGGGTCTACACTGTGTCTGCGGTCCCCTGCCGTTCTCCACTCAAATGCGCAGAGCCACTCGCGACACGCCGCACAACGTCCACCTCCTCCGCAATATGGATGCACTGGAGACATGGGCAGAGCGCTCGGAATCTCCTCATGGAAATGGCCGTGATCGAAGTAGAAGTCCGTTGGGACCTCGAACAAGTTTTTCGAAACCTCTGATGGCCTCAAGTGAGGCTGGTTCCTACGCTCATGTAGAACGTAAATACGGTTCTCTACGCCTTCCAGTGGGCACACTATCGAATCAAGAGTGGGAGGCGTTCTGTATATATTGTATTTTTGTGTTCCGAAAAAAAGATATTTAAGCCGTTGTAGTATTCATCCAGTCCAGATGTTTAATGCGGTGGATTTTGTAAACATTACCCAATTGGAGTAACTGGGACATGTAGTCCCTCCAAACATGGCTTTTACTGCAAAACAGAGTCCACTCATGAATTCCCACACATCAGTCACTACACAAGATGCAGTCATTTACTACCGAGACCCAATTGCAGTCGCCTCTGAACCTCCTTGCCCCGACCATCCGCGGTATCTTAGTCAGTTTACTCCTCGGAAACAGCTAACCACCAAGTCCATGCACGATATTGTGAATTAAGCTGTGGCTGTCATTACAAAATATACTATTGCAGAAAACTTACACTGTCCTCTAGTAATTGCATTCACAAGTCCAGTGTCATGCCGGTGCGATGTCAACATCCCTGAACTTCTGGATCCGTAGCACTGGTTCGGAATTAAACCGACCTCAATAAAAAGTAGCTGTATGGACCCTCCTTCGAATCAGAAAGGCAACAAAGGACTATTCTAAATGCTCTGGTTACAACGTAAAAGTGCTTCTCAAAAATTGGAGTCATGGGAGGGTCTTCAACCCACTCGTTTTCAAAGCTCAACAGCTCGCACTGCCTTAATCACCAATTTTTCGGCTTTCTAGTTATGGAAACATGTTTTCATCTCAAATCTTAGCATTGCGAAACCACTAACAGTTTCTTGTGGGAACGCAATTATTTGATGATCCACTTTTTTGCCTATAAGAGAATTTCGTTCCTCAGATCTGGTCGGTAACTTTTGAACATGAAGACGTGCAAACATGAATAATTAAAACCACTTACTATAAATGGCTCAGGACCTCGTGTTGTTTTAGATTTTGATGACCTTGCAGATTCGCACTTCAAGTGAAATTATTAGCCAGCTGTAATTAATTCCCATGGAATGGTTCTCGCCGAGTTCGTTGAGTTCACAATGTAATGGTGATCTTGGAGCCCCATTCTTGTCAGTACCCTTTCGACCAACACTACACTTCCACGCGATATACCACCTGCTCACGTAAGTTTTAGCGCATATATCGATGGATCCAGAAGTAAAACGGCTTGACTGCTCCTCTTTGGCGGCAAGATACAGCTCATACATGCATGCAGCAGCAGCGGTGGTAAGATTAACACGGAGGTGGGCTGTAGAGCACAAAGCGGCTCAATACATGTTTGCTATCGTGTGCACGATATACAACCGCGAAGATCCATTTAAGAATTCAAACAACGTTACGAATTTGCCACGTTAGTTATAATTGTCCTGGTATCGTGTCATTTACTTGAGTGGATATGCACCAATCTCACGGGCAAGCGAAATTAGTTAAAACACGATATTTTCAGGAAAAAGGACATAGGTCAAATCCAATATGATTGGAGCAAAGGAGGGAGTTATTTGCTGCCATGAAATCCGGCGAGATTTAGAAAAAGGGAGGAAAGAAGCTGTGAGCTCATGGAGCGGACAAAACAACGCATTCGTATAGTTATGTACAGAGAATTCCCGATTTCAGGATCATCCATATGCCAAAATAACGAGCCTGTAGGTTGTGTTTGTGCGTGGTTTTATGTGGGGGGTGGAAACAGACCAGAAAGGTTATTGTTTAAAAGGCAACCAACAAGGGCTTTGGTGTGGGTATTGCTCGGGATACGCGCAGACCTGATCACTTAATCGTGCAGAAAGAGGGCTGCAGAGGTTTCAGTGTCCTTCAGGGAACAAAACGGCTGTTGAGAGGGTGGGGGAGGTAAAGAACCACCAACGATGGGATCTTGCATTGCGTCGACGAGATTCTGCACTGCTTGCAAATCATCGTTCTAAAGTGCGAATTTTATGCATTACACACTTTTCGAGTAAATCCCACCGTCAGACAAGGATAGTAATTAGTCAGTTGCGAAATGGACTTACGGTCTGTCGGGAATGGGTACAGATACCAGAATGTTACAAACCTGTGTTACATCGAAACAATAAGGCACAGCATGAGAGGTAGACGCTTCTCTTATGTGGATGCTTTAATTTATTGTACTTATTAAATAATTAAAGCCGAGAAGAGGGGAGATAGCTTATCATTTCGAGCACCACCTCAACATTAAACCCATTAATTGGACCTAAGCTCGGCCAAACTGCAGGAAAGATAATGGATAGCCTGAATCCGCCGGTGAACCTAGCCTACAGACCGGTTTTAAACTTACTGGAAAGAGAATACTCGGTGCACCACTATCCTTTATCTCCTCGCAATCAAAGCCCTGACCGGAAGCTCTTGTCACCGGCTGTTCGAGGCCTTCCACGCTATCGTCACCCCCAGCCAACATTTCTAACTCAGGCCCACTAAGCACAAGAGCTTCTTCAATGTTCGGGTTGGATTGTTGAAGGGAGCGTTGTTGATGCGAGACGCCTCGTTGCGCTTGGACAGGCGATGGTGAGAGCAATTGACTTATCTGCGATGTAATCGATTGTCCTCCGGTTGAGTCTTCCGGCAGCCCATCAGATTGTTCGAAAAAGGTAAATCCTTCGCCACCCGAAACCGGTGGATGGAATGGCTCCATTAGACCAGGGTCAAATAGCATCGTGGTCGTGGCCGCGTTGATGTCAGGAGACACTTTGGCTGATTGGCCACTAACAAAATCGGCAGGGTGGGAAAGCTGGTGGTTAAGACTCGGACCCCAGTGCTGCTGAGATGGCACCACATCTAAAGCCAATACATATGAAACATTTAAGTTACAAAGTAAGAAGCACAGAGACAACCGACGAATGCTAACAGACAATGCAATCTCATCCAAAAAGCCTTCTACCGATTTTCTGGTTAAACATGAAGACAGGATTGTGAAATATCGTGTGGTGGTCTAAGTGACTGGAGGTGAGGTTGCGTACCGTCTAGTAGAAAGAGGGTTGTTTTTCAGAAAAGATCAGATTTAATGGGTCACAAAGTTGTGGTCACTTTTGTGAAATTGCCAGTGGATTTCGCGGACGCTATTACCTATGGAGCTTACATCACAACAACATTCCAAATGAGTTCAGTAGGGCTTGGTGGATTTAGTGACTGGCTGATAATTGAAGAGAATCTGACAGAACACATGTGGGCGGCATACTCTCACGACTAGCCTCTTTCCTTCTAAAGAAAGAAGTGAAAACAAAGAGTTAATGAGTTGGATCTCTAGCGTGCACTAACCATAACTTAAATATTTCTGGTCCTTAAGCAGGCATGGAAATTATACACACTCTTGACGAACATCGGGGGTTCGATTTATCCTGTAATTAACGATCAGATCTGAATATTAAACGAGTCGAGATTAAAAAGGAGAATCTCAAGGTGACGATGACGTTGTGTGAAATTGTTGCAATTAAAGTGAGGAAAGGAGCCTACTGTTTGGTGTGCAGGGAGGCAGCTTTGTGGGAAGTGAGCGCTGTTGGTGGAAAGTTTGCGGCCGGCCGAACTGTTGGGGTGCGGTGCCCAGGGGCCCGGGTTGAAAGTCGCCGCCAGGGGAGAATCCTGAGAAGGAGGCAGCGGACGACGATGAGTTGACGGGAGCACCGCCATTTCCGTTGTTCACTTGCGGTCCTCTAGGCCCATCTGGCCGAGGTTGGTGCCTCAAGGTCACTGTGGGGGCAGAGGCAATAGGAAGGGAAGGAATGTTCGGACTTGGGCGGAATGCGGCTGTGGAGGAAGGCAGAAAGGCGTCGAGGTGCTGCTCTCCCATAGAGATGAGACCGGGTATCTGTGTAAAAAAAGATCAGGTTAGTGGATAAATAAATCAAAAAACAAGTCAAGAAGGTGAGAAAATCTGGATAGAACTGAAACATTACTAGTAAAATCAGTCTTCTGTACGTAACATAAGCTGATCGAGCTTCTGTGAGAAATTTTGCACAGATAAGAACCTACTACATATGCTAGAAACAACACATCTACTGGGAAATAGTTGGTAGTACGTGAAAAACGTACTTTAGCATCACAAGGTCGTGAGCCAACCGGAGCATAGAGTTGGCGTTGTTGGGAGACGTATTGTTGGTACGGGAGAAGAGGAGGTGGCCCGTTCCGCCCCTGGACGTAGTGGAAGCCAGGACCCGATAAATGAAGTGGCTTAAAAGCATGAGATAACAGTAGACCGTTGTAGTTCTGTAGCCCCTGACCCGAGAGTAGACAATGCTAAGTCAGTAGAAATTGCAGTCTGTCTACATTATTCAATTACCAACTCATCACGTCATTTTTACCTATATAGTAGCAATTAAATCCACAACCACGTATTATTTTAGCCGCTCACATATAATCGCTTTAGTGAGCGTAAAATTAGAGTGGCAAGATCTATGAGAGAAATGCGCCGAGAGGCTATTGGATTCCACGCGTCAATTCGCCGAGTTACATGGTTTTCCAAGAGAGTTGCATTGAACTCCTTAGTCGCAAACATTTGGGCGTACAAGTAGGCAGTCGGAGCTTCATTGTAACACGCTGACACCTTAACCACCAAGCGTTGTGCACGTTCGAGTAAACCGCGTGAAAAGGGGCCCTCGAGGAGCTCAACCTGTACCGGCTTCGGGTATGTGCAGTTGCACATACACACGCACACATCGATCGCAATCGGGAATATTGGTACATCAAGTAACGGACAAACGCACACCAACACCAAGGAAATGCCCGTATAATACACAAACAGGTTTGCGCGCATAAAGTCTGACGTTTCGGTGGTTTCCGTGTATGCTGCGAGGACGAACGTGCACCTGCAAGCAAATAACCGCATACACCTCCGTGGGTGTGCACGCACACGTATCCAAATGGGTAAATGGAGGCAGGATCAATGACAACGGTAGTGGATTTGCTGGAGTCGCATAAGTAGGCCACTTTAATTACGCCAGCACAACAGGTCAGAACAATGCCTCGACACTAGAAGAAACCGTGCGTCTACCAAATGCTTGGGCGATCGATTCAAAGGACAGACAATGAAACGGTTCGCTAGAGGTTTTTAGGGTGCAATTTGCGAAAACGTTTTTGCAGGGAACCACACTCCGCCAAGATGCACGCACTTGTTGCAACCTTTTCCCAAGTTAACATTTTAGCAATCATTGCTTAAGTCACTTTAACAACGTTTCTTGCGGGTTCCCAGGAGATTTGGAAACGAAGCAATTACCAAAATGAGCAATTAAGGATTATGAATTTGCTATCTGGTCAACTTCCATGATAAAGATCCCAGGGCTTGTATGACTGTTGGGTGGTTAGCGCTGAACAAAAAAACCTATCACCAGGACTTTTTTTTTAAAAAAAAAAGCACTTTCCCAAGATAGTCGACGTGCTAAAATGTCGGACCGATGATCAAAAATGACAAGGGTAGGAATAAAGTTAACGACACTTCAACATTTACATATGCAACAAAAAAATCCAACTAAAATACAAAAACGGCAAACCGATTTACAAGGGAAAATCACGACAGATCGCATCTGGATTTTCAAGTGCTCATGATCATGTGTACTTTGCTTGATGATAATTAAGAAAGGGATCATTGTTCGTATTTCATAATCTGCATTCTTAAAAACTATGATTAAGCAGAACCTTGTGAAATTACTACCATCGCGTCTGGCAGTTACAGCAGTCGCAATCAACAATAGTGCTTAGTAACCGACATGCAAACCTTTACAATTCTGAACTGACGACTAGAAAGTTGAGCGCTGAGCTGTATTACACTGTGCGACTGGATGATTTTCACCTCTATAACAAAGGATGAAGCTACTTGCCCGTTGGTGGAATTTCGCTCAATCACGACATGGGGTCATTTTTGGAGCTTTGAGTGGATCCATATGGGACGCCAATTTGACACATAGGGAGGAAACAACAACAAGGCTAGCCCGCATTAACTTAAAACAAAAACACTTTTATTGTAAGCTAGGTAACCTCCGCTTCGGAAAAATCAAATTCTGCAGGCAGAAGTCACACAATCTCGAAACACGAGTCACCAGTACGTGAACAGTGGCCAATCGCAGCATGGTTTACAGACCATGTTCAATTGGATGGGCGCGTCAATAAAACAGGCCTGGCGCATTTAACGACGGCTCTGTTAATTCACGCTGTTCCTACATGAATATTAGAACCAAATTGTCTTTGCTAACTAATCATAGGTGCGTTAAGACCTAGACAAGGACTTCAATAGTTAATCTTGGCAAATCCTCCAAGCTGCAAAACTGAGGTTAAAATAGGAAACAAGATGAAGTGAAGAGCAGTGTGAAGACTTCGTTACACTTAAACTCTAGAATACAAACGCAGCAAGCTGGAGGCAATTTATTAACGAATGGAATAATTTTGCATTCAAACGCTATAGAGTTGCAAATCAGGGCCTAATCAAAATTAACTCAACGAGTCAAACATGTAAGGCCTCCAACTACACGACTAACTCCACAAACCAAAGTACTACTGACAAAAGGTAGGTTTGTTGAAATGAATGCGCAAAATAGAATAGGTTTCTGTCACCGATTTTATATATCACATTGTAATTTTAAACGAACAACGGCAGAATATTGACAAGACACCCAAAGGTACATATAAATTATAGCAAATCCAATGGGAAGAAATTAAGGCGATGAGACGACGACTGTAAGGAATGAGGCCGGTATTGAACTGAGTAAGTTGGAAATCCAACGGAACCGCCCGCACATAAACTTTGCGAGAACGAATTCGACAAACAGTTCTAGGTTGTGGTGCTCCCCACGACATGAAGAGCAGGCCAATTAAGCCAGATAGTCCACCTAGGTGTGGGCGTGATTGCCAAGCGGACAGGTGCTCAGGCAGGGCATAATGGCCTGCATACACAAGCGCATTGGGTCAAATCAATGGTAGCCATTTCTAAGGCTGGGTATCGTGGTGGCAGTGGACGCACACATAAAAGCAGCCGGCAACAGAAGGGGCGAGTGAGATAGCCACACACACACACAGACACACACACACACCAGGACGGAATTAGTGGCGTAATAATTGGTTGAATGCACACGCACGACTCCGCACGGTAAGCATGAGCATCATGCATGCACGCACGCACGCACGCACGCCCTTGACGTCACCGTATATGCGAGCACATGAACGCACTGCAGTTGGACCTCACGTGGTCGTCAAGCTATTGGCGAGCGGCGCGCGCGCCGGTACGCGCATTACGCAATGGACGAGCAATCTGGGGTGAGGAGAAACACGCACTACAGAAGACCTTGTGCATGCTAGCGCCGTTTACGCGCAGCCACAAGCGGGTTTTTGTTATCGTTACGTCGGAACAAAGAAAAGGAAACAATGACGGGAAACAGGGTAGGAAATGAGCACGAGTTGTGGGTTTTTAGAAGTAAGATGCTGCACAAGTACCCTAAGCTGGAATGCATTCATATAAAAACAAGGGATTTTCTATTGAATTAACAATATGAATTCAGCATAAGCCAATGATGATGCGTTTCCCGTTGTTTAAATGTGACACGAAACGGGACACCTACGAAAAGTGGGTCGCGAAAATTAATTGCATTCGTTCATTTTTAATCAAAATCTATAAAGATAGTACTAATGTGTAATTTAACTTTACTGGAGTGCATGGAGTCGGGCCGTACACAGAAAAGTATAATCGTCTATGCGGCAAGTGCTCTGCTTAGGAGATGCAACGATGTGAAATCGATTGGCTGGGAGAAATTGCAAATTGGGTGAGGTTCAAGCCATTTGAATGTCCTGGAAGCAGATCGTTTTCCTTTCCATAGGACATCAAGAGACCACAACGTTTTTTTTTAAAATAGTACAATACAAATATATTCAAAGGTAAAAATTACCTGAAGACCTCCGGGAACGGAACCTGGATTGGCCAAACCCTAAAATAGGTAAGAGGCCAGTATAAGTGTACATTTCAGGGTTGATTTATAGCAAATTCAATCGTTAGATAAATTTAAACAGGATAAGTTTAGTTGGGCAATTAGGCATCACACACAAGTCAGTGAGCACACTTGATAACGAAGGCTTATATCTCTAGATTATCATCCGCTTGAAACTGTGTGGGAACTACTTACTGGTGCGACCATTAGGCTCGATCACACACCACAAGAATTTGGGGTTTACTAGTCAAAGGCTTCACCTTGAATTCCGGGATGAGAACGCATTGGATGGCCAACGCATCAGCAGCATCACGACAACTGCAGATAGTGAAATAATAAAAAAGTTCTACCCGGAGACGGTGACCACTAGCACCTTTGCATAGGTAATTACAAAAAGGAACCAATGTAGGCCTTTAGTAACACGAAGTGGTTCTGGGGGAAAAACATCAACCACATACGCATTGCACGAAATCACGGCCCTCAAACTGCCTCAAATATCCCATTCGGTGATTGTGCGGCCTTCGGAATAGGACGCAATTTAACAAACCACCGTAAATCGATTACTACATACGAGATTAGCAGCTCATGAAATTGTCACAAGCACCGAATAATTCGGTTGATGACATGTCCAGCAGGCGTGGGAAAATAGCTCTGTAGGACAGAACCAAGTTACACCCAAATAACTGCACGCATGCATACGAACGCTTCAAGGACGTGGTGAGATAATGGAACATGATTATCGATTGGACGCGCGAACGCACGAGGCGCGGTCACACGCCAATTTTGAGCATATTCGCCGCACCTGCACGCGCGCGCGCGCGCGCCCTTGTAGGTGTGATTAAAGAAACCTCTACTGACGGCCGTTGGAGTGCTGTGCGTAGGCTTTAAACATGGTAGATCGCAAACGACGAATGAAAAAAAAAAGACGCAATATATGTGCTGATGGAACGAAAAACTTACGAAATCGTAGAAGGCACGCGCATCAGAGGAATGTTTGAGGGTATCCCGTCTTTCAGGAGCCGCACAGTAGAGATCCCAAAAGACACTAAAATAACAAAGAATATTTTCATAACAAATTATAACACGGCTTACTTTTTATTTAGGAACCAATCTCGCAAGACACCGTGCGGTAAAATCTAAGAATCAGAAACGTTGGAACTTGTGAAAGAGTCCAATTGCTTATTGTTTACAAAAAGTACACAGCACAAACTAGTATTTTGGAGTATTCAATTTTGATTTACATGGTGATAAGTGCATGTGAAGAAATGACACGGATAAACTTACCTCCACCATGAGAATAGGAAACCAGGGGCCTCGTTGGGAACTATGTGTTTGTCCCAGCCGATCTGAACAATACAAATGAGTGGAGTTATGGAGAAGTAGAGAATTCGAAGTCAAGGGAAGTTCAAAAGTGTTTCAGTGAAAACAGGAAGTGTGAATTGCGTGACTTAAGAGATCATTACAGCAGGTGTACAACAGGCGAGTAAACTTAGCCCACGTAAACAACACACAGGCGAATTGTTAGGGTTTCTGAAAAAATCACTCTCCCCAAAGACAAATGAACTACGACAATCCGATTATCAGGATGTGTGAAAGGACCACGAGAACCGAAAAAGCGACACAACTCAGGTAATCAAATGAGATACTTGGAAAATACATTCTAAGCATTAATGAAAATCGGTCGAAGAGTATTAGGGATAGCGTATGCACATGCAGATCGACACAAATATCCAAAAATCGAGTAAAATATTATCGTGATCACAGAGTACAAGACAGACTCGATACTAACTGACAATCACCGGATCTTAAGATTTAAAATATTCGTGTTATTTATGAATGGGACGTTAAGTCAACAGTCGCAGCATAGATGCAGCATAGCAAAGCAATCCCCGATACTATAAGAATAAACTATGGTCAAGAGCCTCAGTTTGGTACCCACTTTTGTGGCAATTGAGGCGTGTTATCAAAAGAAGGCACGAGGAAACACATGAACTTGCTTAAACACTACCTTTATAGTAGGAAAACTTCCTTACTTTTGGAAAGTTATGATTGGTTCCACATCAAAGACATTAGAATTCCTTTTTTTTTCTATTAATGTGACAACACGAAAAACCCACTTCTAACTTAGATTATGCTATTCTCTGCAAATCTATCGATCGCTTCATAGTCTTGTCACGTCAAATTAGCCCGGCGCTGATTTACGGTTCTGTGGTGAGTCCAACAGACACCAGCAGTTCTACCCAAAAAGAAATGACGACTTCATGCAAGACAAGCAGAAAGAGCAGTTGAGGACTACCAGACTATTGAGTGGTTCAAAATTTGGGACTGCAACCCGCACGAAGCTGCTTCCCGATAACAATAGCTTCGAAAACAGGAAAAGTAGGATCGTGTTGTTAGACACTGCTGCACCGTTACGTAATAGTGATTCATAATGGAAATTTGCCACGGAGAAAATTTCCCGTGTAGGAACTCTATTGTGCCCAAAGATGGAGCGAGAGGCTCCGGTTTCGGTGTCCACCCTTGAGTCAACAGAGAATGCAGCCCACAATGCACGCAAACACGCCCAGCCCCCAAATGTGAAAACCTGTGCTAACAAGAAACAGCTTACAGTTATGTAAGTGGGACAGAGTGCAGCCGTCAGAGGTGGCCAGCACAACTAACGGAAGTACCTTTGCCACAAGACTTTTAAAAGTAACGACTGGTATCCGTGAGACCACTCATAGCATCCTGTGTGGAGGCATGTAATTCAGCGCTGTGAGAGATGCTTTGAAAAATAAGCACCAACAAGTCAATGAGTGTGGTTCGAGTGACCGAGTTGAGCCATTATGATGTGAATGTGATAGGATTGACAAACTGAGAAATCGACACAAGCTTGTGCAATTTTGCGGACAAAAAATAGGTACATAGACACCTTGCAACTAATAGTCAAGTTTCAAATGCGAGCAAGCAGGTGACACAAAATCGTGTAAGTTTGACAGACGCGGTGAGTTTTAACCAGCCGTTAAATTCGCTTTTGAGTGATAAGAAGTCACATAAAGCATAATCCTACAACCACAAACGCGACCTAAGTAACTGAATAGCACTGAAGACTACTTTTTTGAAGAATTTACAAGACATCAAATGGGTGAGGTTATCGATCAACTACAAGCCTCGAATTGACACAATAAGTCCCATCAAAGCAGACTACAGACCAAAACAAGAAATATAATTGAGATGACAGAAGCAGCACATGGGATTGCGTTCAATTAATCTGAAAATGACGAACTTCACGTAAATTTAGTCTTCCGATATACGAACTTGTTTGATAAAAAGGAACGTAATAGAGCGTTGAAATGGAGGGAACCCAATAGAATGAAGTAGCTGCTCTACTGAGTCATCTTAACTTCGTATTTACACACTGCTCCGACAGTTTCGTAAAACTAGGATCGGTTAATGAGCTGTTCTTTATTTGACCCCAACGCCTTGCAAGCAGCTGGGCGCAATACCCAACCTGCAAGACGCTGCAGCCACCGCAGAATACTGCACATATTTGTGTGTGTGCACTTGAAGATGAATGAATGCCAACCCCTACAGTAATGCCTATAGTCAATATATTGCCCTGGTTGAGAACTGACGTTGGACTTTCAAACGGTTGTAGAATTCAGTAGGACATTTAAGAATCAAGAGGCATTTTTTATACAATGTATATTCACCTATGATGGAGATAATTTTATACCTAAAGCTAGCGAGTGACCCAAAAAGCAAAGTCAACGATTTAGTTGGTAGGCGAAACAATCATTTGTGACCGGAACCTGCGGCCATGATACTTGAACCACTGCATACACAAACGTAATAACCTACGTAAGAGAGTAATTAGCCCGACTTTGACTTGTGGGATGTCAACACCGGGCACTTGCGATCCACAACGGGCTTAGTGTTAAGCAAAATCAGATCCAGATCAATGTAAAAGAGTCTACTTCGCGAACGACTGGCGCGGGACGATAGGCAGTAGCAGTGAGAAATGAGAATACGGAACAGACAATACAAGATTTCCACTAATGGAGTTCAGACAATAAACAAAACGACGAATTCGTAGGCTCGAGTATGGAACAGTGCCTTGACTTGTGACGAGCAGTGGACAAACCTTTCCCTACATAAAGCAGGACGCGTGTTAAAGAAAAGCAGGCAAATATCGGAGGGCCGCTTCGGTGAATCAACAAGACGATAGAAAAAAGTCAAATCACATAATCAGAGTTAAGTAGTGACAGGAAAAGCAGTCATGTACTCGACCGATTAGTAGGGGCTTCAGGATGCTCGACTGACAACATGAGTGGCCATTGGACGAGAAACCACAACAAACACGGCGCATGACTCACTGCCGCCAACAGGCCAATTTATGTTGGGTGATGCAATTGCCGTGGATGTGTGTGGAATTGGCGCAGAAATACGCGCCAGACATACGAGGAGGTTTTAAGGCGCCTTGCCAGATTGAAATTGGATTAGCAGTAAAGGTCACCGACAAGCACAGGATATTATAAAGGGAATCCCTTGCCTGTCGGGAGGGTTTCATTCAGTTTTAAGCGGCTCATTTTAGTGGTAGCGTACGTGTAGAACCCGTACGGGCATTGAACTCAAATATCTTTCCTCGGTTCAACACACAGGACTATAATATGACAGCGAATGATGCGTGAACTCACTTCCTGGAGGAATGTTTGAGCTGCCTTTTGGGCACCGGAGTAGACCAAGTATTCGTACACGTAGAGCGCAAGTCTAAAAAATGTTCAAGGTTTTGAGTTTCCCCAAAAGAATACAAGAAAGTGATGGATACACGACCATGGCGACATATGTGGCATACCAATATGACACAGAGTACGTTAATGAATACGAATCAAGCACAACGGAATAATAATCACCACAACTTCATGGTATTTTCATCTAGCGAAATTATCAACCAATAAGTTCTTAATTTCAGATACAGAAACATGGATCTAGGACGAATTAAGGATAACCTAGCAACATCTCTTATGGGTTGGGAGGGAATGCATATAAAATACTAGTTTCAGCAAAACGTTATCAGGGTTAAATCAAAGAGCTAAATAGAGTGTTATAGACGCAAACAGATTGCGTGCCTAGGCTTGGTTACAAGATAACAGAATCGTCGAGGTCAAATTCATAAGAGAGCACTACCTCAAGTACTTAGACAAAATGTTGTGTTTCAGTGGCAGCAAATAAATATTTAACAGCAAGAAGTTCAAAAGCATTCTGGAGAAAAATGGTAAGAACAAGTTTCTGACGTTAAGCAGTGGCTCAGGACACAAGTAATGTGTGTAGATCCAAACTAAAGCAAAGGTCACGGAAATCTAAAATTGGGTGACGAAAACCGGATACGAGATGAATTAACTAAAACTGAGGTAAGAGAATTAACAAGGGGTCGTGAAGTAATGCATTCTTTTGAATGATCATCAACAACAGAAGTTACATGAAACAAGGTAATAAATCCGATAAAACTGGACATGTGCGTTACCTACAGTGCAAGTAGGGATTTGGAGAAAATTAATTTGCTATCAAACAATTTGCCATTATTGCTCGAATAACAAGAATCCATTACAAAAATGATGAAAGAATGTCTTTCTTTACCTTGATGAAATACACATTAAGTTGAAATAAACTTTAATGAAGACAAGACCTCCAAGGAGGAGTTTTATCAACCCAAACAAGCTGGGAGGTTTTCGCCAAATATTGAAATTGAAAACAGAAACAAAGCAAAATGTTTCACATATAAAATCATCCAACAACAGTACTAATGAGGGTTCAACTGTGATCTATGGGATTAATGAGATAAGTCAGAATGCAAGTGTGGTCAAAAACATTGGTGGGATATCATAACATGAATGCAGTAGAAAAAAAGAAAAGGCCGAGAAGCCAAGACTTAACTTTTGCAGTCTACCAAAAAATCGATAATGTTCAATCAATAAGTAAACGTAAAGCTGAAATTCAAAAATTCAAGAGACATTACTTTTCACTAGCTTGTACGTCCGAAGGCGATCCAAAGGGTTTCGCCTTGCCAAACATTGAATGGCCCTACAGTCGATTTGCTATGGACCCTGAATTACTAAATACGCTGGTTTTTCCAAGGCATAAATTAAAAACTCGAAAAAAGAACAGCCACGACACAGGTGTGAACAGAAACAGCCGTAGGATCAAGGCGATTGGCTGTTCTCAACTCAAAGTTGAAGCAGGTCCCTGATAGGTCCGTTTAACACCACAATCAATTGGTCAATTTAGCGTGGTTAAGGTCATTTGCTTTGCGCAAATTTAAACAAAATCAACATTGATAAATTTTTATAATTATTTTAGACCATTTTTGATAAAATTATTCTAAAATATAATCTAAAACGTGTAGTAAGGTCATTTGCACAATGGATGCTTTAGGTTCGCTTTATGCTACTTCGTTTTAAGCATAATTCCGATTTTAACGTCTACTTTGCCTAACAGGTCGTGTTACACCTTTGTGTATACTTCACAACTGTGCATTGAGCATTTTCATAGGTGCCTACTCGGTTTTGAAAAGGGTGTTAGCCTAGGCCTTCTCAGGAAAATTTTCAGTATTTTGTGCCGCAGTTCCAAGAAGATGCTCGTTTTTGAAAGCATCGCGATTTTTCTTCGTATTGTTACTTTGCTGATTTCAGGAAATCTTTAATTTCATATAATGGTGCTCTCTTCCTATGGTCTTTGCTTGTAGGTTAATCAATATTTATTGACTTTTCAACATTATCTGGCTTTTTAAAAGCTCTTTGGTGTTTTTTTCTGTGGGAACATGCTCACTTAGAGGTATTTCGCTTCAAGCCAATGTATTGCATTTCTTTACCTTAAGCTTTATTATTTTTTTCATTAGAATGGGATAAATACCACAACTGGGCTTTTATGCCTACGTTAGTTCTGGAGAAAATTTTCGCTTATTTGCCATGGCGAGACCGAGCTCACGCTGCTCTTGCCTGCAAAAGGTGGCTTAATGCGTTTTGTTCCGCCAATGTGTGGCGGGTGTTTACTTATCATCCTCCACCCCAAGGACTTACGAGACTTCAATATGACTCAAAAACATACTTGCTCGCAAGGCAAGTCCATATTTAATGTTTTGACTACTTGGTTTTACTGGTGTTATTTTTAATCTTTAGCCAACCGATTCCCTGTGTTTTCTTCTAAATCTATTCATCCGGACATTTAAAGTCTCTAGCCACTAACTGTTTTAGTCCTAGCCGTTTATTATTCATCTTAATCATCTCAGATAAGTGTCTATTTTTAATGATGGTTCCATTGCAGATCATGAACGTAATTCTCTTCTGAGCTTCCAGGTTTCAGTTTGTGACTAAATGTTTTACGTAACCTTCAAAACCGATTGTTAGTCTTATCTGCTGGCATCGAATCAACATTTTTGCCATAAAAATTGCTATGTGCTTTATCGAATATAGCTTTGAAGCTAGTCTGACCCGCAGTTTTTTTCACTGTTAAGGGCCATTCGAACCATCGGTTGGCATTTCCAGTATCTTCGCTTTCCGGAGACGGAAGATTTCTTCATGCTTAACCGTGTTCTCTCTTTGATTGCTGAATTTCTTGAAGCTCACCCATATCCGAATAGCGTGTCTTCCGATTCTGTCCTATCAACTGAAATTATTTCCCCCGATTTGGCTGCTTTGGAGGCTGCATATTCACCATCTTCATCGTCTGGGCAGCATGAAACATCTACCTCAAATGATTCTCCTGGTAATTTATCTGACGCTGCTGTTGTAGAGGAAATTCCATTGAGTATCCTTGCTGAAGCAACTTCTGGGGATCCAGAATTGGCTAATTCGATAGCACTTGCGCTGAGGCTTCAACAGGAGGAATACGAAAAAGGCCTGTCATCGTCGTTGCATTCTGGCAGTTCTTCTGAGGTGTGTTATTGATTTTGCCATCTATAAAATTTATTTCTATAGAGAGTTTGTTTTCTATCCACTCCCAGTGATAAAGCACTAGTACTAGTGCCCGTTGTGCTGGAATCGGAAAGATTTTTTGTGGCGAGGAAGTTTTGTCGTGCTTTGATTTTTGGGTATCTTTTGCGACTTTGAAACGCCCGAGTTTGTTTTCCCTCATACTGGCAATGCATCTTAAAATGAACTCATCGCTTTGGCTCAAAGCAAAGTTTATTGTTTCCACGTGCCTTAGCTCGTACGTAGTGTAAATGCTTATTCTATGAGTGCTTAAGACATTTGCGATGCAAAAATTGCTAGCGTTTTCGCATACCTTTGCAACTAAGTGGTGGTAAAGGAACACAGTGTACTGTACTGTTGGCCTAGCAACAGTGGGCAGTTTCTCTCAAGATGTTTCTTTGGTACTGCAAGGTCCGATAACACTAGCGTATATGTCGATGAGACCTCTTAACGTCTACTAAGAATAAGGTCTGCCATTGGTTATTGCTTTTAGCTTGTTTTAAACTGCTATCTCTCCACTTCCAACCGAAATTATACCGCTTGTGTTGCGCGTATTGTCTGAACGTGAATAATTGTTCTTGCATAATTGTTTTTACTTATCGGACATGTTGAAAAATTCACCCACTCTTTTCCTTTGAGTGGCTAGGCAAAATATCACAAAAGTGACTATTTTTTGAAGCTTATATTGAGATCGTTTGTACTGTGTAAAGTTAAAATAGGACGTTTTTTAAAATGCCGGATGTCCGTATAGCTATCCAGATGTCGAACATGCCAACAGTGTCCCATAAGAGTGATCTCCATTGTGTATTTCTGTCACTTTAAGACGTGAGGTTGAAGAAAACATAGATTTTTTGAAGGTTAGAACTTTCTGAAGGCCGTAATTGTTTCATTCGAAAATCGTAGCACACGAGGCTCCTCCGTTCATCTCAGATGCTGCTACATAATGTTTTTCAAGCGTTCTAGCGGTGAAGTATGTGCTTTTGTAGTGTCAATATTAACTTTCTGGAGGGATGTGGCTTTATTCAAAATGACATTTGTTGAACTAATTGTTTAATGATTGTTTATGGCCTAACTATGATTCAAATTCGTCAATTGAATTTTTTTGTCCGAATTTCGACTCACCATAATTTATCCTTGTATCTTGACTGAATGACGATACGCTAAGCGCCGCTTGCTTTAAGTCCTCGCTATTTAAGACAGGGATTTATGGTTGTTTGTTTGTTTTTGGTTGTGGATTTGGATGTCACACTAAGAAATTTGTTTCGATTTCCACGAAGGTCGCATTCACGAAAAAGCATTCCCTGCTTTTATTAGAAATCTTGTAGGAGGACATTGCTTTTTCATCAGTCTAATATTGGAAAAAATACCGAACCTTTTCTGATTCCAATTAGTCGAACTTTAATACTCATTATGGTGCAAAATTCTCAACTCGCAAAATGCAAATTTATTTAAAATTGACTCGAGATCCTGCGGTCGACGAATGTATATGAACAAAGTATATCGTGTAAAACTGCAATATTGTTCACTGCCCAATGTTTTCACTTTTACAATGCAAAATTTACGTCCCAGCTTCTGTGACTTTTGGAGAAGCATGATGTTTGGACATGAATAACCGAAAGGGGATCAAGAAACTTCAACGGCTGTCTGAGCCGGTCATCCTGGGCGAAAATAATTGTGTGAAACCTCCCTGTTTGTCTGTGGCTGTCAATGTCTCCCGCTATGGCCTTGACGCGAGCTTTAAATCAAACAATGTTTAAGGTACCTTCTTAATTTTGCATTCGCTAGAGTGGAATCGAGTTTGCTTGCCCATCACGCCCAGGTTGTCCACCTCAGCTCTCCAGCTCTGTGCCCATTCGTTTTCCCATGCGCAGCGCCTCCACGACAACGCCTCCAGCGAGTCGAGTCGTCAGTCGTGGTCGTCATTACCAACGAAGTGTGAGTTGCAAATTTCCCTCTGCCTCCAGTAAGCTGCCTCGTCTTCCAGACACGTCCTGCCTGCCTCCGCCGTGTATCCGCTCCTTTTCCCTTGACTTTCACGCTGAATTTGACGAGGCCTCGGGGGTTGTCTACGGCTCCGGGGGAGCCCTCTTTGCCACCATCGTGCGTGTGCTCTCACGCCTAAGGTACTTGAGGGCTCTGTATCTGCGAAACCTCTTCCTCTCACATCTGGATACGAGGCAGCTACTAATTGAAATTTCAGCGGTGAGGGAATATGTAAATTAACACCTCAGTTAGACTCACGCTAATCGTTAGTATTTAGTTCTTTCATGTTTGTCCAATTTTACCAAGAAATGATCCGAAATGCGGTGATATAATTGTTTGCGGAAGATGCAATGATCGATTGCTTGAATCGGATTCATGGTAGGACGTGGCTAAGCGGAAAAATGAGAGTAACAGGTAGAAAACTTTCTACTGGCGAAATATCTAATATTTAGAATTTTTGCCAGGACATCTTCAGTTTTGACAAATCAACCTAGTTTATGTTATATTCGCATGAGTATACTCTCTCTTAGTTTTACAGAGATTCGTATATCATTGTTTTCATGCTAAAATACATCCACAGGAACAGGCCAAAATTATGCAAAAGACATAAATTCAATCTGGTAGCCTAGTTAATTGAAATAATATTTAGTACTGGTAAATTTAAATTGACGATGCTTTTGTTCAATAGTTTAAAATCAAGACAATCAGTGCAGAAATAACAGAGTATCAATTTGTTTTAATTTATCATTTGTTTTGGCAACTCGTTATTACAAATATGAACATTATATGCACTTATATTTGCGTTTCTTTCCTGAGTATTTTTTCGGTTGCACTTATATTTCAATTTATATTATGACGCTCCCTCGACAAAGCCCCAATTATGCTTTTTTGTATTTTGGTGTGGACTCGCATCGTCTAAGGAACTCATCTGCTTTTAGGTTTGTAGATTTTTCGCTTTCAGGACGATGTTTTAGCTCCATTTAAGTCAGCCATGATGTAAATGTAAAGGGTGTTCCCAGAATCACTGACCCACGTTTAAATTCCGGCCGCCTGTATAAATTTTGCTCTCCATTGACTGGCCTTATTTGATACCCAAATCACTTTTGACGATATTTGCATGCGGTTTTTACAAATGCATGGGCTGGGGGTGACGCTCTGCACCATTGGTGACCCGTGTTGTTTACCCTTTGGGTGTTCTTCAACACATTTGCTGCTACATAATCCCAATGTCGCTGCTAAAAGTCTGTTGCATTCACAGGTATTTTTGTCGTACCCATGTACTTGAACGCAATCGGTCACTTGGACTGGTTCCTTATCGTGTGGTTGGCATCGAGTGGGGAAGGACTTTCGACCCAGGTTTCGCGTGTTGCCTGTTTGAGATTTTTTCTACTGCTTGTGTGTCGATCCATTTTCGAAATACAGGCTTCCTGGCTTCGAGAAAAACGCACTTATTACCCATAGCCTCTCTCCTTGTCTCCCAACTTAACAATAATTTTGCTTAGTTACGGGATCGACAGTAAGCGTTTGCTAATATTCTTGCTTTTAAATTTAAATTGCACCTCCGACCTTTTACACATTACCAACGCTAGTGGTTTTGCTAATACGTTTACACTCACAAAATAAGTATTGGTTCCTAATGATCTGGTTCTTAATCATTTGTACACTGTTTTTTTGTACTGAAAAAATCGGCCGTACATTCCTTCCGTGGAATTGACTTGATACTCCACATGCTTTGTGTTTTATCGCAGGAAGCTACTTTTCCTGTGCATTCATTTGCACCCTCGCTGTGACGTGCATAGCTTCTTTGCATTTCCAGGTGGCAGGTTCAACTCTGGAGAGAGCGAGTCTGCTCCATGTCTGCAAGGTGACGCATGAGCGTTCTCATTCGGTTACCAGTCCGAGCTTATCAGCAGCTTCTCAGACAGGCTCAGATTTTTCAATCAACCCTACACCGACGTATAACGACACGAATCGATATTGGTATTTGAGGGACCCGCGGTGGCTTGGATCGAGGCCAAGGATTTTGGGCTGGAACCCCCTTGCCGACCTTTCCTCATTGTTCCCCAATCTAAATCGTCTCGAGATCGCCCTAACGCAACTCACAGGACCCATGCTATTGCGCTTGATTTACCAGACCCGACTATCTGTGCTGATTCTGACTCAGGTAGCTTTGGTATTCTGTGTTATCGTTGCATGATTATTAGCTGCACGTGCTTGTACGAGCGTAAGTAGGTTCACTGTTTTGTCATCCGATTTGTGATAATTTTGTAAAGACCATCTAAGCTAGTCGCTGTTGGATTAACCAACCAAAATCTCTTCTAAATTTTTTCAACTAATCCCTGTGCCTCTTCAAATATTTCGCAGCCTCAACCATGAAACTTGACTTTATCCGAATCCTTTATTTACTATTATACGAAATGTAACAAGGAAGTGGAGTTTAAGAGCCCAATTTTTCTTATGATGTCGTAAGCGCTGGTTTGCAAACTTGTACGAAGGAAACCACCCGTGCTGCTTTCCTCCATTGAAAGCAATTTTTCCATGCTGTGAATCATGCTTAAATAATAATCCGTACTTGAGCACATTTGAGACCTTCACACATCTTTCAACAAACTAGGAGTTGACTTTCTCATAATCCTCTGCCTTGGTCATCGCGTGGGACAGCAAGCAACTTTGGTTTGTTGCTTTGTTTTCTGGAAAACGACTCATGCACTTTAATTTAACCACGCCTGTATACTAAACCTGGGTTGTCTGTTTAGATGAGCACGCTGTGGTCGTTTTACGTGAAAATAGCAAAATAGCTCAGAAATATAAATCTTATAAAACGGCAAACATAAATTACTAATACAAATAAAACAACAATTGAGTTTAAAGTGATGCGATACTGAAGCTGTGTCGCACGGAGTTCTACCCGCCCGAAAAGCTAGCTTGAAATTGCGCTCATCGAGCGAACCAGGTAATTATTAACGTAACAATAAATCAATTGAAAGTAGCATGCTTAATGTCATGCATTTGTCACGAAATCCAGTAGCCAAGGTGAATGAATAGTTCTCATTCCATATATTACTTTGACAATGTCATTCTGGAATCGAGTGTGTGCATTCTGTGCTGGGTTCTTTTGTTTGTAATTTGAATAGTCCGAATTCTGTCAGGACTGAATTCTTGTCTGCATGGTGATGGACTTCTAGTTAAGTCGTCGCACATCAAAACATCTGTTCACGGCTTGATCTTCGCCTCCTTGGGAACTCTTTTGTGACTTGGCTCTGATTGGGTCAGAGTGATTTTTAACTGGCACTTTTATTTTACAGCAAACTGCAAGTTAGGATTTATGGAGGCGACAACTGTCATGGATTTATATGAGTTCAATTAAATAATTGCGGGACCGAAAGGATCCCATGTGCGTCGTCGACCTTTGTGAAATCCTGCCCCTGAATTTCACACCACCTAAGAAGAAATTTGCCCTTACCTCTTTTGACGGAAATCTTGATTAATTTTGTGCATATTCAGCAACACATTGGTAGTCAACCGTTTTTACGTTTACCCTAGACCTTGCATGCATGTGTACAATTTTGCTTTCCTTCCACTTAGTCGCATCAATCAAATACGAAGTCAGGGCGCTGCCACAAGCGACCATTCCAACTACTCCTTTCTGCTTAAAGCATGGCATGTCACCTATTTTAGTTTATTATGCTGGGTAAGTGTCTATGTATGTTCAACAACGCATTTTGAAACCCTAGTACTCCTCTTAAGTTGTGTTAACGGCTCAACTACCTGCATTAAGGGGTCGAAAAATTTTTTTTGCATGGAAAGCTAAATCCGTGTGTGCGTGATGATCACCTCGCTGCTAATCAGTTTTTTTTTACTGCGAAGCCTGTAACCCCGACTTGGACCCTTTGTAGCCAAGCGACAGAACCCATCAACCAATTTACGTACTTAATCCGCATGGTATTTGGAATAATTTCGAAAGAAAGAACAGCAACATATGCGGTGCAAAGACTTGTACCCTACTTCAGGAATAGGGAGAACACAAACTCTAAATCTGAAAATTTAAATCGGCCTATATATTTCAGTCACACCTTTATTGCGTGGCTGAAGAATGTCTAATACTAAAGCAATATTTCCTATTATTTGTTGTTCAGCATACTCATAATATGGAAACACTTATATAGAATAAAAAGCTCATCACATTTAGGATCAACAACATGATGCCGCCTTCGTATGTCTTTCTGTTCTGAAGGTATACACACGTTAAATGTCGTTCCCCCTTTTCCCCGTAGACTGATTTGTCTCCGCGTTGGATGGAGTACTATAATGAAGGAATAGTGTCCACCGCAATGCCTGACAGCCTGGAAAACCAGATTCACGATGGGGTTCACAATGGGGATGAAATCGATTGGGGTGCAGACGTTCCTTTGGTGCGCCACATTGCCCCTTCCGACCACAGGTCGACTGTTAGTGGGGTTCCTGAATGGCGCCCAATTGAATCTGAATTCTGGCATCAAGCCGTTTGTATGCGTCCTGAGTTACGAGTCCACGTCCGCCTCAAATTTCTTTACTCACGAGCGTCTTCAGAGCTCTGTGTTTTTGCGTTGCCCGCTCTCCCGGCTCCCGTTACATCGATTGTCTGCATTTTTGGCTCCGGTGATCAAACTGCCACATACCGACTCTTCGAGAGGTGCATCAACTCAATTACGCAATACTCTGTCACTCTCACTGACATTGTTGTTTTTACTGAGGTAAGGTGTTGCGTAGTAGTTACTTGCGGTCTGAATGCCATGAACCCGTCTCATCAACTATTTTTATGCACCGTAATAAGTCACACTTGGAGAGCCCTGGATTTAATGTTGAGACCTTGCATGCCGAAGTACCTAGCTTCATTTTCGGTTGTGAGTCTGCGTAGGCCAATGCGTTAATCCTTTTCTCTTTTCATAATTTAGCTCGACCTAGAAGCAGTGGAAGCTGAGGAAAGGGAAAAGAAGCAGCTAGATCGCCTACGTGGCAAACAGTTTTGTTTCAGTTATCCCGTACGTCAAAAACGTCGCCAAATTACCCCAACTAAAGACATTATTCCTCAGCCACTTGATGCTCAGTTGCTTCGTCTCGTTTCCGCTTGTCCTAATGTCACCTCGCTCAGTATAGGCGGCCGCCTTCTCAACGTGCACTTAACAACAGCTAGCCAACTCTGTCGTCTTCTTGTGAAAGGCGCTCATGCTAAGCCTAGGATTATTCGAAATGGTATTCAGAGAATAACTGCTCCGACATTGTACGCTGACGTGGGGTCGATGCGTCTGAGCGGACCAATTCCTGAGTCTTCGACGGAACGTGACTCGGCCACGTTCCTGGAATTGATGCGTGACTGCCGAGGAAAAGAGGTAGTCTCACCGGCCGCAAAGCAACGAGCTGCAGAATGTTTAATTGCTGTGGCGCTCGGAAGCCCCCAATGGCGCTTCATGCAGACGGAAGCTTTTAGATTTCACGCACTCACACACGCTGGAATTTAGGCCTCCAAAACAAGAGTAGTTAATTATTTCCTTCCCAGGCTCGACCAATGTTTCTGATTTTGGTTCTTTTAGAGTGGTTTAGCTGCAGAATGTCAACTATCTTTTCGCTTCAAAGAATTGAAGCTTGTGCAATCACAGGGCTTTTCCAATAAAGGTATTTTAACTCAATCAATTCTACTCATCCATTTTGCAAATGGTAACTCGTGGGGGCAAAAATTTACTTTTTTTCGAAGCAGTCTAGCGGGATCATTCGAATTTGATCGAAAGCAGAAGGTTCGCTGTTACGATGTGTTGGACTGATTGGGTTGGTCAAATTCGGGAGTGATATTTCAGGCCGATATTGGCCGCAAGGTACTATAGGTGTTTAATTAAAGTGCTGCCAGAATTTGGTTTATCAATCGGTGACGAATGGCATTAGTGATACACAGGGTCACCGATAGTAGGAAATTCGCGCGCATGTGAATTGGATGTTGCGTGGTGCTGTTCGATTAATATTGGCTGAGCCCGAAGCCTGCTTTTACAAATTAAAAAGGTGGAGAAATTGTGATAACTAAGGCACTGGATATTAAATTGCAATCAAATGTTAAGGATCTAATTTTTAAAAAATAAGGAGATATAAAGGCAGGAGGGAGTTCCAACATAGCAAATCGCAGAACTCCATCAAGCAATTTTTTAATTTGGCATTGGAGACATTACGCTAGCGCACGGTAATGACTAAGCGCAATCCCGTTCGATCACATTTTCCAAAAGACGGTTTTATCTGGATTATCTGAAATGCGGTTAAGAACGTCAAGCATCAGCATAAAAAGTTCCATCATTTACAGAGTGTGCATCGACCATAAAAAACCAGAATCATGCATCGAATAGCGTTTTGGATGCATTCCAAAAGGCCAGATGATATTTCAGGAAACATGAAAATCTAGTAATATTCGAAGCTTTCAAAAAAACTCTGATGCAACGCTAGCTTTTATAAAGACATAACAAGCGAAATCTTAATGAAAAAGAGTTTTAAATAAAGTATCAAATTATGTTAAAAATTGCTTTCACATTAACTCCTGTTATAAATAAACAAAACCCAGAAATTCCTCTAATTAGGATTAGTTTTTTATCATTATATGTGGTTTAGCTGAAAATTTAGCCAAACTGTAGAAATACGCTTTTCGCGAAATCAAAACAAACCATTTAATCTCAAACTATTTGTCTTTGACAAGGTCTAACCTTTGTTTTGAACGAAATGTCAGTCTGGGATGCTGCAGTGCGTTTTCTTCACAGAGATAAGCAGGCCGATATTTTTTGAAATACTTGTAATATTGTCTTTTGCCTTATGAATCCTTTTTTATGATTTGTTACTCAAAATTGAGGTGCTATTGATTACCTGAGCACAGGACGGTAGAAGACAAGAACAGGGAAGAACCTTTTTTGACAAAACTCAAGTAAAAGACGCCCTTTTACTCTGCAGGGCCAAAAATGGGCTTTATTGACTTATCGTAAGCCAGAATCATACGTTAGGTGCAGTCTACCCGAGTCCTCCACGTTGGTTTCGACGCTCGTTTTATTTTAATTCTCATGCGTTCTGTGTCTGGTTGGCTGTTTGTCTTTCTCGCATGCCATTGACAGTGGATTGGCTGAGGTCGATGTGATTCAATATGTTTCCGCCATTACATGTCGTTACAGTAATGTTGAATACCCAAACCCTTGTGTGAAGAGGACTGGTGCAACAGACAAGACTTTATTAACCAATAACAAGCGAGAACCAAACGTCCAGTGCTGTCCATCCAAGTCTACCACCTTGGCCACGCCGCTCATTATATACTGCACTTCACTCATGTCTTCCTCTGTTTGGCTGCATATCTTCCTCACATGCCATTAGAACGCAAACAGCCAGAGAATTGGTTGAGGCCAGGTGGCCCAATATGTCTGCGCCCCTATGCGTCGCCACACCGCCTCTTCCTCAATAGTGAAGCTGTCTTCAGCTCCTGGCCTGGTTCCCATTACGGTTGATGATTTGCAAAATTTTCAGTTGGAAGCTCCTCGACACCTTATATCTGGCAGGGTAGTGGTCAAAGCGAATAGTAGACGAGGCACATGCTCTTGTAGAATTGCAGGAAGGCCGCTTCATCCATCGTAGGTTCTTTCGCACTTGCAGTCCAACTGGCTTCTACTGTCCTTGTCGTCGTCGCTTAGTTGTCAATGCCTCTTCAGATGCAGTAATTCTAATCCCGGGCAATGTCTATGGATCCACTTTATTGCACATCGGATACCGTCATGAAAACTTCAGCTGGCATTTAAGTGTCTTTGCCTCCGTTGTTCATAGAAGAGAAAGGGCTGGGGTTCGATTCGCGTTACTCAAACGCATCCGTTGCCACCAATGTAGAATACCCGAGCCCTAGTATGGAGAAGACTGGTTTATTGACTAATCACAAACCAGAACCACATGTCAGGCCCCGTGCGTCCGAGTCCACCACTCTGATTACGCCGCTCATTTTATACTGCTCCTCAATCGTGTCTTTCTCTGGTTGGCTGCATATTTTCCTCGTATGCCATTGGAACGCTGAGGGACAGGGTCAGCTGGGAAAGGTTTGGTCCAAAATGTCTGCGCACTTATGCGTCGCCACTGTTGAGTACCCGAGACCTAATAGGATGAAGGAGGGGTTCAACAGAACAGGCTGTGTAGACTAGTTACAAGCCAGAACCACTCGTCAGGCGCCCTCTATCCGAGTCCACTACGCTAGCCACACAGCTCACTATTTACTGTTCCTCATTCCTGTCTCTCTGGTTGGCTGCCTATCGTCCTTGCATTTTATTGGAACACAGAGAGACAGAGGATTCGCTGAGGCCAGGTGGTTCAATGTCTGCGCCCTCAGACGTCACTAATGTAGAATACCCGAGCCCCTATAGGAAAAAGACCGGTACAACAGAACAGGCGGTATAGACTGCTCACAAGCCAGAACCACTCGTCAGGCGCTCTCTATTTGAGTCCACTACGCTAGCCACGCAGCTCACTATTTACTGTTCCTCATTCGTGTCTCTCTGGTTGGCTGCTTATCTTTCTCGCATGCCATTGGAACACAGACAGACACAGGATTGGGTGCGGCCAGGTGGTCCAATATGTCTGCGCCCTGATCCGACGTCACACTAAACCGCATCAGTCATGATTACCAACTCTTCTGGTGCCTGTGATGGATGCTAAGGACCCAATTGTTTGCCGTCCTCTTGATATTTGTTTTGATGAATTTTGTGCTGCGTCTTCGTTTGAAGGAATTCTTTCGACATTTTATCGACTATGTGATGTTATCGATTTGAAGTGCCTTCCTGGATGTCGTGATTTCTTTAGAGAGCTTCGTCAAAGGTTGTCAAGTTACTGGAAGTCTGAAGCTCTTCTCTCAAAATTGGACGCTCGTTTTAATAAAAGTGCATATGGAAACCAGCCTAGTTGCCAGGATATTCGGGTAGGTATTTGTGTTGCTTTCATAATTTCGTTGAATATTTTCCCTGAGTTTAATTTATTAAAAATTATTCGAAGGTAGTTTTATGTGAATGTAAGAGATGTAAATGCCCTGTGGTAATTCTTTGTATTCGTTTTTGCTTTGTTAATTATCTACGCCGTGGCATAATCTCTGTCCCATTTTGTCCTTTTTCACTCCAGTCGATATGTGAAAATTGCATTGCATTGCAACAATCTTTTTAAAAATTGCCATTTCTGCGTTTGGAATTCTGAACGTATGTGTGGGCGTAGTATTCGGAGAAACTTTTATAACCTTCATTTGGCATTTTAGTACCAAACACGAATTGCATTATACCTAAAACTAGATAATGGATGGCCTGTTTTTCTCCTAGGTTATTGTCGTTGGTTGTGGTCCTTGTGGATTACGCTCTGCTATCGAACTGGCTCTTTTGGGAGCAAATGTCGTCGTTGTTGAAAAACGTTCGACTTTTTCCAGGTGGTTTATTGGAAGATTACTTCAATATTTTTCGTGCTACCTGGAATTTGCTGTTTTTAATTACTGAACCGATTTTCGTGACAAAAATCACTTCCATCCTAAATACCACCATAGTCGTGCTACTTTTAGCTTCCTAAAATTAGTCCAATTTCGTGAATGTCTTTCATTTTTCGGCTGCGTTTACCTACGACTTTTTTCAAATTAATTACCTGAGCATTCAATAAACTACCGAGTTTAAACCTCATTTGTTGTTAATATTTCATCAGTTACCATTCTTTTCAGCCGAATCTAGTGATGGATTTTCATGACTCATGTACTATTCCTATTAATGTGGATAGCATATGCATTTAGTCGCTTATTGGTTTACGTTTTTGGTTATTTCGTTGACAACTTGATTCTTCTGAATTTTCCCTCTTCAAACTTCGCGTGATTCATTTGGTTGCAAACACGTTGTCGTGCTCCAGTACTCAACTTTTCACCAGGGCTTATTAAATTTAATATTTTCTTGTGAAGATTAGCTGTGCACACTTAAGTAAATGTTTGAGATTAAGTTCAATTGCACTGGCAACCTCTTAAAATCGTTTTGGCTAAAGAATAGCATATTTACCCACCTGCAACATTGCATCCAGGAATTTTGTATTTTGGTTTAAAATACACTTTCACGTATAGGTGCTTTCCTGGTAAAGCGACATCCTATAGCTGTAATGCTATTTCTGCGTTATTTATGTTTAATTTGCTTAGACCGTTTTTTTAGGTTTTTTGACTAAATATTTATCTTAATTAAGTTGAGGCGTTTTCAACCAAGTCCATCAGTGGCTGGATCAATGTATCCTTCTTGTACATAAGACCTTGCTTTACTTTGTAGAAACAATGTTCTCCACCTCTGGCCCTATCTTATCAGTGATTTAAAGTCACTGGGTGCAAAGACGTTTTTCGGGAAATTCTGTGCTGGTTCCATCGATCATATCAGTAAGTTGCTGAGTGGTAAGAAGTGTACTAATTTTTAACGCAATCTCCGGGATTTTCTTTGCTCCCTTTGTCGAGTTTCGAAAGGTCCTACTACGTGGTTTGTAATTTTGTTTTTGTGACAAAGCTGTGTTTCCCAAATGGTAGTAACTGCATCTCGCCAGTTAGCGTGAAAAATCTCTCATCTCTCATCTATTTCTCTAGTAACACCAAGTGGGGTAATCATTGTAGTGTGAATGATACTTAGTCATATCGCATAGATTATGGAAGCTGTGCCTTCATAAGGAACCTTAGGGTCAATGTTGCCTGAATGTGCGTCAGCTCCACTCCTCTGGGCTCTATGCGAGCCGTCAGAGAACCTTTCAGTGCTATTCTAAGTTTATTGATCTCGACATCAGACCGTTTTGTTCAAGTAAAAAACTTGATTTGCCCATCTGTTACGGTGGCAGTGGTCCTGCATCGATCTTTGTTGTATAGCTTGGCTTGTTATAATAACATTTTCAATTGCTAACCAATTGTTTTTATAGGTATTCGAGCGTTGCAATGCATCCTTTTGAAGGTGGCTCTTCTCTTTGGTGTTCAAATCGTCCCCTGTGTCGTGTTTCAGAAGCTTATAGAACCCTCTGGTATGATATCACTTTGTTTTATCGAAGAGTTTGTTGTAGATTTTGCTTTAAGATTCACCTTACTTTTATGGCCTGCATGGTAAATACGCTTGTATATGTTGTTTTAGTTTTATGAAATTTCGTTACATGTTTAGATTTTAGGTGTGATCTATGTAGAGGTGCTTGCTAAAGCGATTCAGTGATGCTTCTCTATTAATTGCTTCGTCATAGTCTTGAACATGCTGCTTGATCAGAAGATCCTTCTTGACGTTTTGCTCTACTAGATGATTCAGATCGTTCGGAGAACTCAAACGGCTTAACCAGTAAAACACCACTGGCACTTGGGAGCCCCCCTCGTGAACTCTTCACCCTCTTTAAGGGTCCACGTCGAGCCCGGCTTGGATGGAGAGCGAAATTCTCCCCTCATCACGAGGCTCTCTCCACATTTGAATTTGACGTCATTGTCGACGCTGCCGGCAAATCCAGCAGCTGCTTAAGTATGCTCATTAGTTTCTCTTAATCTAAGTTCATTTAAAATAGGCTCCAAACGCGTCAAGCAAGTTTTGTCTACTGTGTGTCATCAAATGTAGTAAAAAAATTGCCATCCAAGTTTTACCCTATCGGAATTAGTAATTACTTCAGTTGGCTAGGCATCTGTTTTGGTGCCACTTTTAGGCCATTGTATCACGACACACGAGGTCATTCGATGAAAATAACGTGATTAAGGGCGCTGAGATGTAGTGTAAATGCTTTGCTGTGTTGGAGCCCATCATCCGTTGCTTGGGTTATACATGGGGTCACTCATGTAATGTTTACTTTGAACAACGCATTGATCGGATTTTGATCCTTTGGGTGCCAGCTACCTTCACACCTTCGGGTAACCTATGAATTCATGTTGACGCAGTTTGTCTCCATCATTTTTATGTTAGTAAACACCTACTAGACTCATAGCTCTAATTGTATACGTTCTCTGACCAAAACCCTGCATCTTTAATTACTTTCCAATTTTTTTCGAACGGACGAGTGGAGTCGGGGTTTAACCGTTTAGTCTATAAAATGGTAATCTTTCTCTAGATTTTCCACGGAAGGCGCTTCGCTGTCGATTGGCCATTGCGATTACAGTCAATTTTATAAACTACGGCACCGTAGAGGAGGCTCATATTGAGGAGATATCGGGAGTCGCGAGCATTTTCAATCAAGCCTACTTCGCCCAAATTTCTAGGAACCTAGGCCTCGATTTGGAAAATCTCGTCTACTACAAGGACGAAACGCACTATTTCGTCATGACGGTCAGGAAAAAGTCGCTCCTATCTAAGGGTGTCTTAATTCGGGTATGAACTGCCTACCTACCTACCTACCTTGCATTCGCAATACTGATTCACACTTATTAGGTAGTTGCCTATGGGCATTTCGACTGTAAACGAGTCCCACTGGTTTTATCCTTCGCACACACCTACTTGTTGCAGACTGCACCATTTTCACCCGTGAGCCTCACGACGGCTCGTGCCCTCCGGTCTAGCCGTCGGTCTCACACATCATGCAGTTTGTGGTTGTGTAGTAGAAATTCCCACATGGATCTTTAAAAGTCGTGTGAGGAACTGGAATTCTCCAAGTAAAAGTATCTGTTTTTTGGTACTTCAAGCTAACGTTCATCATATTCTTGTGTTGGTTTAAATTCAATATAGTAGTTTGAAAGTTTAACAGCGATTGTTTTAGTGGTTGTGTTATTACTTTGTACTTCGCCTCATTTGGGTCTCCACAGGACGTTATCCTTTTTTTTGGGATGCTCGACCATGACCACACAGGAAAAATACGTCGACGCCTGGTTTTATTCATTATCCCACTCCAATTTCAAATTTTGCCTGCACGAACACGTCGACGTAAAAAATAGCGATGTTTCCGTTGGAATTTACTTAATTGGTTGTATGCACAACACGGTTGAAACTCCCCTTCCCGCACCCCTAATTTCTCGCTATGTTCATTTTTCAAGGACTTCGACGATCCAGTGAAGCTGCTCAGAGCAGACAACATAGACTCGCCGGCTTTAGAGCGACTTGCCCGCGACGTGGCCACTTTCGCCACTAAGGGCAAGCTAACGCGGCTGGACTTTGCCCCGAATTCTCACGGGCAACCGGACATCGCTGTGTTTGACTTCACAAGCTTGAGTGCTGCTGAGTACGCCTGTCGAGTTATCGATCGGAAAGGGCGACCACTGTGTCAATGCCTCGTCGGTGACGCCCTGATCGAGGTAATTCTTTTGACCGTCCATTTCAAGCGAAATTTATACTACGACAGGATGAGTTGGGATGATTCTATGCATGCCAACGCGAAATGCGGACTCATTGTCAGTAGTTTTAATAAAAAAACCTAGTCCATAGGGATTTTGTATGCCATCTTTTAATTTTGTTGTTATTGTCGTCACTTGAACAGATGTTGAGAAAATTGCACAGTTGACTTCGCATGCCTTATAAGGTTGCTGAAAGTTATCTGAACCAACGAAATGTTCGTCTGAGCCCACCGCGATGTTCCAAATGTTGAGGACCGTTTTGAACAATCTGAACCGGAAAGCTTAATTATGAGTTGAATCGTAACACAGGCATCAATTTGCAACGCCCAACAATGACCCAGCAATTCCATACTTTGGGTACCAATTAGTTATGCATTGTTTTATTTAACCTTAGATATTAATTGCAAATTTAGTTTAATTCTCCGAATATGAGACCATCCCTAACTTAGGGTTGTGATCAACCAATTTTACTTCCGATCTTTGTTGTGTTCTTGCAACTTAACTTGCCAAGAGGTAATAATTCTCATTAAAATTGTTGCTTTTGTGGTGAGGTATTCAGTGTTGTGTTAACTAATTCTGTCACATTCCAGGTAGCCTTCGGTTCCATTCACATCATATGTTTCACGAAGCGATTTGACCGCGTCGAAACACAACTGCGCACGTCCATATTAGCAGCTCAGTAACCATGCTGTATGAGTCTGTACCGTTGCGCAAACGCCGAAAGCCACCTCTGGTTAAAAGTCATAATGCAAAAGTCAATTGTACTGGATGATTGGAAACGCTCGCGTCTAATTCTCGGCGATGGAAAAGTCCTGCACGTTTTACGTGCTGATGTTTCTCTTATAACCATGTCATTAACTGACACTCACTTGAGTCAGCACAACCCTCAAAAAAGTGTCATTATCACTTGCCCATTTTGCATTATTTGATTCTATTTATAAAGTCAATCCAGTTCATTTCCCTAAATGAAACTGTCACGCCTACTTCTTATGGTAGTTCCGACGAATAGCGCCGTAAACACCCTTACATTGTTCCGTCTGTGGTCGATGTCGGTCTGTTTATCCTTAACAAAACCGGAACTTTCGCTTGCGATTGTGTATTAACGACTTGATTCAGTTTAACTGACCGTCAACTCCTTTTTGGTTTTATGTTGTGTAGCCCTTTTGGCCGCGTGGGAGCGGTTGTGCGCTCGGATTTTTCTCGGCCATGGACGCAGCCTGGGCCGTGAGTCTGTTTGCTGCGGGGCATCACGCTCTGCGCGTGATTGCCTGGCGTGACTCCATCTACCAGCGCCTAAGCCAGACCAGCCCTTCCAACATGCCGCCTAACTTTTCCGCTTACACATTCCAACCGACTACTCGGTACGGGCTTGCACTTGCGTTGAACTTACTCGTCACTTCTCGCAGTCACAATTTCCTTGCGGCCTGATTTCACAAAATAAGCAATGATGATGGTTCTGTCGAACTAACCGTCTTTTCACTTTTGATCGGTTTCATTTCCCCCTACATTTCTGGCCATCCCGTTGCTTATCATCTTTATGACTGTCACAGAAGATTTATCAATCGTTAGATGATCTGAAATTTAGTATGTATGTGGTGTAAATTTGACCTAGTCCTCCAAAAGTTGAAAATTTTCAAATTTATCATCTGCTAGTTTATGTCTTCTAGACTGTATGTGCTCCATTTTGCCATTTGACAATGCCACCTGATGCCTTTTACTCTAGCAGCTTTTCACTGTTGATTTCATAGAAACTTGTGTGGTGGGAGTGTGGCTTTAGGTTTAGGCGTTGATCGAACAAGCCTAAATTTGCCAAGAAAGGGTGCAACTGAAAGATTATCTCGATTGTAAGCTAACTTTGTCTATTTTTTTTGAATCTGCCCGTGTTTCGAATTTACGGCCTCATAACTTGTAGAAATTGTAGTTTTTTAAGTGAGTAAAGGCAATTTGAAAGTTCCTTTATGTCGGCACTTCTGTCTTGTTTAGATACACCTGCGTCGATCTTGAGCTCGTTCAGCCAATGCAAGTTCGAAATCTCTACGATTCTGACATTATCGCCGACATGTCTGAGCGAGAATCCTTTGCTTTTCTTCGTGACTCCGTCAAATTTTACAATTCTGACCTTTGTCAATTGTCTCCCCGATCAGCCATTAACAAATCAAAATTCTCCTACTTCCCCCACATCACGATACTCAGGTGGTACCAGACTTGTCTCTCTCCATACCCCGTCTCCATTTGTCCCCATATCGTGGATTTTTCCGCCGAGACTTGGTCTGACGGTCGGGCACTAAGGTGCCTGGTGAACAAGTACCGTCCCGACCTCGTTTCGGAAGAGGCCCTGAAGGCAGAGGTGGTTGGCACATGCGAGGGAGTTATGCATCTTCTGGCTGAACATTTCGGTGCGCCTAAAGTGCTCGATCTATGGAGGTGGCCTGAATACCTCTCAGCACTTTACAGTCGGCTAAAGGGTCACAAACCTGCGCCTCTTGCGACAATGACAGGTTGGTTAACATGTCGTTGTTCTGGGGTAATAGATTTTGAGTAGTTTGTAGTTCTGCTGGCTAAATGTACAATTCAAATCTTGTCTGTTTTCTATTATGAAAATCGCGGGAGGCGTTTCCTCCCGTGAAAATCTTCCAGTGTACTGGATTTCAACTTGTTGCTGTTCATGTACTGTAATCTCCTACTCAATCATGTCAATCACTTGGACAAATTTTTCGAACATTAATTGACCAGCATATCAAATAACTCATAGCCAACTTAACTATCGCTTTTTCTTCAAAACCAGTATACTTACCAAAAGCTGGTAATATCCCTGCCTAAGGATTAATTTACTATCGGAATTCGTCATTTTGGTCACCATGCAGTAACAGTGGATAACCCTTGAACGATGACTTGGCTTCCCTATTTGTGTGGTTGCGAGTGCAATCTCTTTGTGTTCGGACATCAGCTAATCTCTGCCTTTTGTGGGTGGTAACAACGCATTGCCATGTTTAAACTGGTTATTTTTTTATTATAAAGAGTGACCAGTCCATTCACCATAACTTCATTTTCAGACTCGTCAAATAGATGCTTAGATTCTGGCGAATTTGTTATTGTTTTTCTGTGTTCAATGGCATATTTCACGTCTTTGAAACGCTGTTCCCTCCTGTTTATCAACCGCCTTTGTATTATCGTGATTGTTTTAGTCAGTTGGTTTAACCGCAGTCACTTTACTGTCAATCTGAAAGGTCGTGTCAGAACCTACCTAAACTGCTTGGCCTTCTCGAACCATTACCAATTTAAAATTTCCGCATATTAATAATAAATTTGTATGTTTGTAGTCTGCGTTGGTGGTAGTTGCTGTTCTCCCACTCTTTAAGTGTAAATAGCAGCTGGCATTACCATATTGTCCACCATCGTTACTCAACTTCATTCTACACTGGGACTTACTTCCAAACCCCTGGTTTTTGTTTTGTGAGCCGTTGGGCTGTAGTACCTCTCACGGTTGGTGCGACCTCGGCATCTGGCTACGCACGAAGTGACTGTGGCGGTGGGCTCGTTGGTCGAGGTTTAAGATTTCGGAAACACTGACGGCTGATGCCGATAGTTACCTAAACACTTAAATTTACTGGGCTTCAAAAGCAAATAACCAGGATCTTTTATTTCCTCTTCATCTATAACTGTCTTTTCGACTCAATGGGAAAATCCGCATAGTATGATGGCAATGTGCGATATAACCGGACAAGTTAATCATCGTCGCTTGGATTTGCCCCGTGTTCATTCCGTTGAAAAGGGTGTGCGTTATGCTTGGTTGGTATTTGCCAGTCATTTACCATCGGATTTGGCTAATCCATACGTGGGCAAGCTTTCGTCGCTGGCCAAATGTGCACAAAACTGCAACTAGGCGTAATGACACATCATCAGTTTATGGCAAAATCTGGGGTCAAGGTCCAGATTATTTAGCTTTTCCAGTTATTCCATCTCTAGCCTATCGAAAACGCGCCCGATTAACTCGTGATACCTCGCTCCTCTTCATTGAAATAAACTGATTTTGCAACCCTTTGAATGCGTATACTGTGTTTGTGTAACGACTTTGATTCCAACGCTGTATTCACGTTCATGCGACTTTCGGTTTGCTTAGTCCGAACACAGACGAGAAGCGGTCATCGAATGCGTCGGCGCTCTCTCCTCCCGTCGCCGTCTGTTTCAGGACAAGCAATCAACCGGTGCATCGACTCCTTGGCATCGCCCCAAGTCTCCTCAAATGCGCGTCGTGGGCTTTCTCCCCGAGCCGAGCGTCGTGCTCTCGATATCCAGAAGATTCATAAAGACCTGGAAAATCCTGTCTCGCGGGTAAAACCGCCACGAGCTCGAGAAGACGCCTCACGTGCCGTCGAAAAAGGTCTCATGTCGAGGCGGAGGTCAGAATTCATAGCCATGCTGGTAGGTATAATTACTCTAACTAATAGCATTATTTTTTTCGCTCAAATACTGCTATGCATCCACAATTTTTTCTCTTCATGATTTGATTTCACCTTATGCAGCTCCTCGGGTACCTTTTCCTGATCCGCAGCATGCCTTTTTTCTCAAAGATTTTCTTCTTCATTCTCGCCACTAATCCTATTCCTCTTTCTCACAACTTCTCGTTTACAACTTCATTCCTACTTTCAATTACTGTTACCCGCTCCCCCAGTTTGCGTTGTGAATCGATTTGATTAAGCGGCGCGGTTCCTCTGCGTTTGATGGACCGGATTTGCGCATTTTAACTTACCAGGTCAAGTTTTCCGCTGATTTTGCATCTGTCATCTTCCCATAACCAGTTCCATCGTTGGCACCTTCTATATGCTCCACTCATCCGTCAAATTGTTCACCATGCCTCGGTGTCTGTTCTACCTCTGGGCATTCCCTTATTGTCGTTCCTTAGTCTTTCCTATTTTTTACTTTGTTTGCTCTAATATTCGTCAGCTTCATGCGAGCTTTGTACTTTTTGCGCCTCTGTCGTGCGTGCCCACGTACTTACATCTTATTGACGTCGTGTTTTAATAGTTTATCTCTCGAAGTGTCTACTTTACACCGACTTTGTGCGTTCCTGTCGTCTGTACGTCATTGTGCGAACTCCGACTCCTATTCGTGATAGTGCCGATTCAGTTCCGCCTTCTTGACTCCATCATTATCAATCCACCAAGTCGTTGATTGTGTCTATTTTCAAATACGAATTCATATCATAGCTTTGAATGCGTCTAGCTATTTCCCTCTGTTGCTCTTAAATTACCTACTTCGTCAACATTTCTTGTTCCCGTTTATTTAGAATGATCCTGCCTCGGCAAAACGACGCAGCCTTATGATTGACTGGGAAAAGGCATTTGAGGACGCTGGTTTGCCTCTTCCTCCCAGCCCTCCGAGGTCCTTTTTACAACTCCCTATTCCAACCCTGTCTCGACATGATTCAAACAACAACGCTACCTCTGTGGAGGTGAGATGTTCGTGTGCACTTTTCACAGCCCAGTTTTTGATTTCAGAATGTTTATACCCAACGCCACCCTCATGCACCCACCCCTTTGCTAGTGAAGACGCTCGACTTACTGGGTGCAGTTTAAAAGATAACGTTGTTGTTTATATTTCTGCTGACAAGTTTGCACATCCTTATCCGATGTGGTTTTCGTGATCTTGCTTCCCGCTCTTCACCTGTGCTTGTTGGGTAAGCCCGCCCAGAATAACGAGAAATTCGTAACCGTTAGGCAGCACATCGCCGCGTTTATTGACAGCTCATTTTATTACATTCATTAATAAATTACTATCAAGTATCAGACATGTAGTTTTATGGTGGACGCCAATCTGTTGATAGATCTACTGCTTTCGAACCCTTGACATTTCCTCAGTGAAACCAAGTGCGTGCAGCAGATTGTCTACAGAGGAGTTTGAGCGCTCGTGTGTTTGAACTCTGCCATTGCTAAACCTCAGGAAGTTATGAAATCGGTTAACAGAGCCTCCAATTTATGAGCGGAAAATGGTGGACAACTAATCTCCGAATCCACAAGCAGTCATGAAATGGACTTACTCTGCTCTGTCGTTGGAGAAAGTTGGATGGTGCCTACAAAGGAGATCAAATTTCGCCTGTCAGACAACTTGTCGTTAAGCCCGACCAATGTCTGTTACTTTTGTTTAAAGGTTGCTTACGTCTCCTAAGTAAGTGTAGTGCTTATGCAAGATCGAAGCGTTCGCATTTCCACTTTGTCAATAGAAACATTTCTGCACACGTTCATCAGGTTGTTGAAGCATGTGACCGCAAGCCAAGAACAGGGCGCGCTGCGAAGTCCTCTGTCGTCGGTGAGAGCGCGTCCACCTGTCCAACGGTCAGCTGAAGTCAGCAGTTAATACATGAGGTGCGGAACTGACGCTCGAGGGTAAAACCTCATGCGCGGAGAATAATGCAGTGTCTTCAGGGAAAGTGTTGACGTCGAAAATGACGCGAATGCAAAACTAATGCCTAAATAGACATGAAATTGTTTTGACTAATCAGTACTAAGAAGCTTTACCCAACATTAATGCTGCAGTCAGCTGTATAAATTTGCGAACAATTTGGTGTCGTCCTGTCGTTCCACTTTTCTGAGTGTACTTTGTGTGATACGAGTGTGTGGGCGCCAGCACTGTTACTAGTAAAACAGCAGCTATTAGTGTCATAGTGTTAACCCAAACAAAGTTAAGTGGAAATTGTCGCTTGCGATCACCGAGTTTAATGCATTTGAATGGGTATTAAGGGCACTACGATGATTACACTGACCATTACCCTATTATTCATGCGGATTGTGCTTGCTTATTCCTGAAGTATACGTCAACATACCCTTTGGGAGTCACTTATGATCCAAGTGTTCCCCTAAGTTTCCAATATGCTTAAAAGGGAAATCATTCATTTTCTAGCCGCAAATGGACATAGATTTCGTGCGGTTATCATTGTTGCTCATATCTAACTTGAAAAAAAGGTATTCAAATGAACTTGTTTTGTTTGTGCACTATTGCGTTCCTTGGGTGAGGATAAGCATAAGGTTGCACAGTCAAGCATTGACTCAAGGTTCGACTGCGCGCCGTAAAGTACTGGCAGTTTTCGGTCATTTCTATAGTCTGTTCTCGTGTGCAAGATGCGTGTGTTTCTCAACTGCCATGGTACAAATTCAACAAGTGCAATCAAGTCCCTGAATCGCCTGATTTCCGGAAGGGGAAAAAGAACAGCAATGGCGATTTCGTTGCACGAAATGTAGATATTCTAGGATCATTGCGACTCTCCTAACCCGAAGCTTTGCTAATCACGGATAAAAACTTGATAGACATTACCCTATTTAACTAAATGCTTGTTTGAATTTCTGAGTGTCTTCTAGATATTTTGAATGCTTTGGCGTCATATTTTTACAAGCAAGTTGATTATTTGGTCTCCCTCGACCGCGTCCTACCGAAAACTTCCATCTCTAATTTGTTCAAAATCCGCCATCCTAGACCTTAATTTTCAATGCCACCTCAAGATAATTAAGTCTCGTAGGCGATTTCTGAGAGCATCACGCTGTGGGGTGTACTTCATGAAAGCGAATGTTTCTGCACCTCTTGATTGGTCATAAATTTGTCTTTTTTCATTTTTCTATGTTTTAGATGATGTTATATTTCACAAGCTTTTCAAATCTTCCATTTTCTCCTGAAAAAAGTTTACTCCTAATTCATTCCGTCTTTTCCTTCCTTAAGAAAATTCGCGACCTTTGTGTTGTCTGTAAGGGGCGTCTTGATGCAAGTAGACGTCGTGTCTACGATGGCTTACTTATGCACCCGTGGTGCTTCCGTTGCGCCGAATGCCAAACTCCCCTTCGCCCAGAAATCGCCCACCGTCTACGCCGCAAAAGTGATCGTGAGCTCCATTTGAAATATTTTCAAACTCACTCTACTGACTCACCGTTTAAGTAGATGTCGTTTTCTCAGAGCGAATTCTCAGGGTCTATTTTGGACTGCTGTTTCTTTGCACAGCGTTTTAACACTCCGCTTCACGTAAGCAGGGTTGTGCGTTTTTGCATCTCACCTGTAGTCTCGGTGAATTATCTGACTAATTCCGGCGGTGTGTTGTAAAGACTAATGATTGACGGTGACTATTTTTGGTAATCCAGTTACCACCATTTTTTGTACTGCCTGTGTGATCATTTCCAGTGTAAAACTTGGCGGTCATAAGTCACTGGTTGAAGGTTATAATATGCAAGTCAAGAATTTTGTTTGCTGTAGAATACAAAAAATGGGTTGATAGAATGTACGATGATTGACGCAATTGGCTAAAAAGTACATTCATCATTAAATATTACCATTCTCTGTGTTTGAGTAAAATTGATGCGTTTGATTTTAAATTGCCATCCCCATGTCATACTCATATGTTAAACACTATGCCAATCTTGATGCGAAAAAAGTCTACTCTACCTAAGTGGGCTCTTTGTGTCATGGATGTCATCCGCGAGCAAAGCTTTGCGCTGCAATTTCTCGTATTCGTTACCCTGTAAATAACACCAGCACAAACAATAGTGGATGCACGCGCCTAAATCGAAAAACAACAAAAACAATCCGCCAAAGTGAGTTTATGTTGCGGTTATCCTAAACTATAGTGCTCCAATAAAACCAAAATAGCAAAACAAGGCGTTTGAATGGAAATAACTCGACAAATGTTACACTGCTTCTTTGAAACCGGAGTTACATTAAAACAGTTGTAGTTTTGATATGCAGAATCAATGTGCGCTGCTCCACTTTACGTTACTAGCCATTTTCTTTGAAAGGCTATGCTAACAGTATGTTACAAGCCTTGTCCACTAAGTTGTGGTTCCTCCGACAGACCAGCACACCGAGGTCGATTGCGTCGAAGGCGACAAAGGTAGTTCTGAACGCTCTGTGTTTCGAGCCATTGCGGAAATGTGTGTGTGCGTGTGTGTGTGTGTTGTGAAAAAATAAACGCAAATTGACCTTACATATGCGGTACATAATAAGTCTTGGGCAGTTACGTGCTGAGGTGATCCTTTGCAGAGCACTGCTATCTGAGTGCTGCTCAGCGAGAACCAAAAGAGCAAAACAAAGGGACAGGCACGAATAACATGGTGATTGGCAAATCAGCCACATCGGTTTTCCACTTCTCTAACTTACTGTCGACGTGGATAGGGTAATATCAACTCTTAACAATTGTTCATTCCTGTCACACATTTTGATGATGCAGCTCGATGTGCAACGCTCTTGACCTATTGGAAGTGTATGTGATAGAGGCTTGATATTCGTGTGTAGGTAACTACGGCAAGCACTTTTCGTCTCAAGACTGCTGCTCCTGTCGCAATGATCACTCAATGCTAAGGCAATTCTTTGAGCCATCTGCAGAGTTTGTCAGGTGGCTGCGCGTCGGCCTTCCACGTGTGCATTTAGCTTAACTAATTGCGTTGTGGACGCATGCAATACATTTTTATAAACCTTAAAAGTCGCCTTTTGTTCTACATTAGTTTCCTATTTTTATGCTAATTTAAGTGGAAATGCACAGCTCCTTTTCATGTACGTATCGATTGCGATGAAAACTTCGACTCATCCTTTATCACCAATTAGTTAATTTGAACGTCTGCAAGTCTGCGAAATTTTATCCAAAAGACCGAGTTTCTACTGGCTTTGGTGACTTTGGCTCTGTCAAAATCTAATTTAATTAAAATTCAGCGACAGTCTCCTGCAGAGGTTTTTGTCTAAACCTTGGTGCTCAGAATTAGCATCGCTCTGAAAATATGGCTTGACGCCTCAACTTTCTTCACACGTGTATCATCAGTTCACTCAATTGCTCAGTTACTACGCTAGCATTGATATTTTCAATTCCTGACTGTGCATTTTTGACACATTCACGGTGGCTCTGTGATTTTGTGTGTGTGCGTGCTCGCCCTTCGAACTTGCCACACAATCTCGTTCACGTGCCCCATGGTTTACGTAAGTCGCGCCTGATTGGCTGCTCTTGATTAGTTCCTTCGACTTGATCTCGCAGTTGCGTATTCACGCACATATTTTAATCACTTCATTCACTTTTCCGCGTTAAAAAAGTTTCGCTCTTTTGTTCAGCTAAATTCTACTGTGATGCTCACTTTCATGCCCTGACGTCCACTAGGGTAGCCGATCAATCTACGATGTCCGCCGAAAATCCACGTGAGTTGGCCTCTTTTTGTGCTAAGGTGTTTGCTGGTTAGTTTTCTCGAAAATCTCTTCGAACCCACTTAATCTGACCCCCTTTATTCCAGTCCCCAACCTCTTGTATCCGGCGAAAACATGGCTAAAAATAAGTTTATTTTCACGGTGGCTTTGAAACCATATGACTTCTGGCAACCATTGTATAAGTTATTGAAAAATTGGTCAGCAGCAGAAATTGGATGTGCTTGGTAGTGAGAATAAAAAATTCAGTCTTGGTTGCTTTTGGCAGTAAGGCCTGTTTTTGAGTAAAGTCGATCCCAATGTAATCATAGGAAGAATTGTAATCAAGTTGTGTTTCGGATCGTCTATACTTTCTGGTCACGTAGTTGTGTAAACTATCGGCATCATTGTTTATGCTGCATCTAAGTTCCGTGCAAGTGGCAATAGTGCAACTGATTATAATAATTAGCCGATAGAGCATGTTGTGAAGTAAAAAGTGGTCTTCTCTGGAAGCCGGTAACCCCAGCCTGCAGTTTTAAAATTAACCAAATGCATTGCAGTACAGGCAAACTCTTCTTCCACCAACCACTGAATCCTATATTTTCCTTTTATAATGTCCAGTTAAGTGACCGCAGTTGGGGGCGTGCAGGCACATCTTAGGTTCGAAATTTCGCCAAAATTTCGTGTCAGTTTATTTGGAACTCGTCACAGTTAACATCGGAGTCGCTTATTCACATGCAAGTCCATCTTCTGAACTGTAACATTTAACAGCAAAAACGCACTTTCAACTTTTTCTACCGCCTTTCTATGTTAATGTCGCCTTACTAATTTATTATCCAGTTATCCCTTTAACGTATTCCCTTGAACACGGAACCATTTTAAAACGTAAGCGCCACGCCTCATTGCGCAAAAACTGACGAAATTGTTGTAAGGTTTCTCACCGATCCTTCATAGATTCGACAAGCAGCCTCTTTAGACAAACTTTAATCAGAACCCAGAAAAACAATATTTATGTTGGAAATGAAACTTTGCTCCTAGCATCCAAGAAGTTCTCGTTTTTGCGACTTGTTCTCGATTTTTAAAAATCTTGGTACTACTTTCCACACGTGCGCCTCAAATTTCATAGCACATTGTATAATACTCCCGGTCCATTTCAGCATCACCTACCTAAACCCACTGCGTGGTGTCAAGTACGGTGTTTTGCATGAATATAGCACTTGCCAACGCATGAAACTGACTCGATGATGGATTGTTTATTTAGTACCGCCAACAAACGTAAATTAAGAGCCTGTAGTGGTTTGCTCGCACTACATTGCAACTCTGCTAGTTAACAGTCCGACAGCATGGGGAAGAGAGACGACAGCGGACACGATCGTTTATTAGCGTTACGCCAGCCAAGTGTGTCTGTGGGTGTGGACGAGTTCGCGTGCGTGTGATAGGCGACTGATAGTAGTGGCCAATGAAAAGTTGAGATGAGTCATTGAAGTCAATGCTTCCTTGAGCAAGCTTAAAATACGTGCGATATCTAACAGTCCGTTACCAGTTCATCAAGTGTGTATGTGTATGTTGAGGTTGGGCTTATTTTCCTTCAAATCACTGACATCTTCACTTCTCGTTCCCAGCCCTTCCTAATCCTCGAGGCCACAACAGCCCCAATCGCCTTAACGGCCCACCCAACCAGCAACCACCGTCAGTGTCACTGGCGACTCGCTGGGATAGCCACAACAGCGATGGAACCCCAACAACTGCGGCCCACACAGAAGGACTTCATCAGACGGTTCCACCACATCGACAGGTCAGAGGCATCCGAGACGAACCCGCGCCGCCTGTCCTCGTCACCTCACGTAATGTTTCTGGCACTCTTGGAATGCCAGAGTGCGTTCGAAGAGCCGCCTTCGACGAAAGACTGTACAGACTAATTGGCCATTCACCTCTTGAGAAATCGCTCGATTTGCTGAGGTCTGTTTTAATCAAATTAGGTTGTTGTGTGTAACTTGTTCCAGTATCCATTTTTTTTTCGACTCCGAAATTTCCTTGTAAAAATGCGAAAAGAGCACCTCTGTACACACTAAATCACTTGGCTCAACTGCTGGTGCTGCAACGTTACAGAAGGGTGATCCTGCCATCATCTCCCCGCACGCTTAACTTGCACCTTGGCGCCCCGTCTTTAACCACATTGTCGCGTGCAGCAAGTCCCTGCTTCGCTATCGGGGCGACAAGTCGTAGTCGTTGCAACCATTCCGCACACCATGAATCAACACGAGAATGCCTGTGAGGTTCATCGTCATTGATTTATGTGGCTTTTTAGTTGTACCGTTAGTTATTAAACTTAATAATACCTAGTCTGTGTGTGACTGGTTTTGTGGAACACGTCATGTCGTGGTGAATTTCATGTGTGTGTGTGTGTGTGCGCGCCTTACCTCGTCACCTCAGCGGAATTGCCATCACGTGTCGTCGCTACTGCCCCCCTTTGTACTGAATTGGGTTGCCGAAATCACCGACCTTCTGCCAACCCCTAAAGCGCATCCTTTCGCAGCTGTGTTGGGATTTGAATTTAATTCTGGCGTTTATAAATTACATGCTAGCCCGTTGTGGTCATGCTGATGAGCAAGCACACCCCGTTTCTGAGCTTCCACCTTTTGTGTCTGGTAGTTATAGTTGAAGTTCTGGTAGTCAAGAGAGGCAATTTGGAATAAACCATCTGCGCTTTAGTATTTGCACGTTTTTCACTCTTGGGAGTTTAATCATTTATATCAGGGCGTTTTCTAATAGTTTTCCTGACCCAATCTATGTATGTCACATTTTTAGGTGGCTGAGAGCACGACGTTCGATGGCACGAATGGGATAGGCACCTAGTGCGTCTGATGATGCGGTGTGTTTCCTTTGATGTTTAAGCTCAATCAAAACGTATAAACTGACGGCCAATGTAGCGATTTACACAATTTTGCCGATATTTGCTAGCACAAGCCAAAATGTCTGAAGAGGTGAAAATTTCATGATCCAAAGCGCACGTTTTCGCGCATATTCTACAGTCCAGCTGTGTCCCGATGAAAGGTCTGTTATGTGAAACGCGCAGAAGTTGATCAGCCAAAATCGATTTCGCACGCACCATTTGGTGGTGTGCGGACTGTACGCCTGGGGGCGCGCACTCCACGTGGAATATTTTAAGCGTCACAAAGCTTGCCTCAATCAGTCGTTGGGCCTCCAGTCGTGCCAATGCATTTCTCCAGCCTTGAAGTCGATAACGCCAGATTTTCAACAGATCCTCTGTCTTGGAGATGGATAAGGTGATGACTAGGCGCGTCACGAGAATAAAATAAATCTGCCTTTAAGAGATGTCATTTTTCTTCATTAACCTAATCGCCAACGTCCTGGAACCATTCGAATTTATTTTGTTGACTGGGATATGCGAAATCACAACTCCTGACACCGGCTGATTCGATCTTGTGTCAGCAATTTTTCCGGCTCACCAAACTTGTTAATTGGAACATTATTTTGTAGACAACGTGGTAGGTTTAATAATAATGCGTGTTAGGGGCCCCGGCGTGTTGACCCGAACCGTGCCGTAATCACTGCGTTGAACCCCGTCCGATTATGCCACCCTGATATCCACGAAGAGGGCGCGGACATAACTGTCTACTAGGTAGCTCAACCAGGTTTTCGTCGTGTTGTGTATGGCGTTTGCGTGTGTGAAACAGCGTGGGTCATAGGTGAGCTAACATTGGCACTTAGGTGAATGGTATCGCACGTAGTGACGATAAACGTTAGGTGTGAGTTGAGGTTCATCCTTGGCTGACGGCATGTTGCGAGAAGGGGGCATTGTGTCGGAGAGTGGTGTGACTGGATTAACCAGCTTGAATCAACGCAATTCACAACACGTGCTTATAATTTGCACAACCTAGGTAAGAGTGGCTCACCACACTCAATGTCCATCCACTCAATGCAACTCCTCCAGTTCTTTGGTGGACATGTCCGTTAATTACATTTATTGCAAGCAACTTTTGGTAATAGAACATGCGTAAAAGTCAAAAATTGCCCAGTTGAAATTACAAAGTAGATTTCGCTAAGCTGATTGCAATTTTTCGCTATTACCCCCTGATGTATAAATGAGCTTGCGCCGCAAATTCTCATAGGTTCTTTTACAGATTATGCAGTCATTTGCATAATCAGGAAATCATTTCATTTGTTTCATTTAATGGATAACCAGGTTCCAAACGTAATTCAGAGCCTCTTTATGAAATAATGAACACTCGATTTCTAACAAAATCGTCGGTTAGTATGCACGAATGTCGACTCCTTGCTCTTTGACTTTGCGCTTGTATGCTACATGACAGTGGGCACGAAAAGGCGTTTTCGGTGAAGTCTTCTGCTCAATTGATGTTAAATTAGAAGTCAATTTTTTTTAATAATACATGCGTTTAGTTTGAAGTTTTCTTTCATGCTTTAGTGAGAACACCTCCCAAATCCTGGCGACAGAAGACAACTGTTTTGCGTAAGTTTGAGTCTTTTAAAGGCACTTTTTCCATCCCGTTTAGAATGGTGTTTAACGGTTCATGTTAATGTCCCCAAGACTAAGCATTGAATACACAGTAATTTATTGGCTCTGTTGAGGATCGAATCCGTAGCCTGAGCCCTTCCATATTACTTGTATAGTTTAATTTATACCTTATTCACTTTTTTACTTCAGACCTCTTAACACGCTTGATTTGTTTTTTTTCCAACTGTGGGTTCTCATTGTTTTTTGATATTTAGGTCCAGCGAATATGAACCATCAGAATGTTCCACATCCTCATCGTCATCATCAAAAACCAGCGATCCTCCACCCATAAATGTAGAGGAGGCCAGTCGCCTTTGTCGCTCTATCCGCGCAGAGGCCCTCTATCGGCGCAATCACCCATCTGAGGATGAACAGAGCAGTAGTGATGAGGAGGAGTCAGATGGATATTCTGACTGCGATCCCGCTGTGTCAGATACTTTTGACACTCCCCAGCAAGTTTCTGACTACGAGAACGTTCGTTGGACACTGGCTAGACCGCCACTTTCGCCCACCACCGCCGCAGAAAACGCGTCTACAGCAGAGCCGTCAGCACTAGTGCTGAAGTATGGTCTCTCTGGATCCTTACTCCTGGCAAAGCAGCGCTTCTGTATGGAGGCACCAGAACCGATTCGGATCGATTCTCGCGCTTTCAGGGCATCTAAGAACAAAGAACGCACCGAAGAGACAAGCTTACCTGACTGTTCGGAAAAGGTGGAATTCATTCTTGATTTTTTTCCCATATGTGCCTCTCTGACAAATAGCTGCTCATTCTACGAAGTAGTGGAATTCTATACACCTATAAACTGGGTTGTAGTGAGCCCGCAAATCTGTTTACCTTCACACAATTTCGGTGTGACTGTACATCACAGCCCGGTAGAAATGATGTTCTCATCGCTTTCCTTGGCTCCTCATAAACCAGACTCCAGGAATTCATTGACGCCTAAGGAAGTTGATTCATCTGACAATATGATTTCTACTAGATCTGAGCTCGGATCAGTTACTTCTCATGACTCAGAGGAAACTCTAGACAGTACATCATTGGTCAACAGCAAGGCGAGTCTTGGAGTCGTTGATCAAGAAATAATTGACGCTTCAACCGGACCAAGTAAGGTTATTATGAACACCTTGGAGGAATCACTTGTCCCGTGTAAATCCTCGAATTTTGTGCGAGAGGGCGCGGTCATGTGTGTAAAAACGGCTGACGCACTCGAATCCTTGGTATTGTGTGATTTTGATCACGAAGTGCAGTCAACTTCACACTCACCGGTGGATATTGACGCCAGTGCGGTTAGATCTGAGTGCACAATGACAACAAGCAGTTCAGAGGAGGAAGAGAGTGATGAACTTGTGTTTTTGAGGCGACCCGTTGTCGTGCCTCCTGCTGAGCTCAGCACACAACTGAGGGAGAATATTGAAGAAGCTACGCGACAAACAAGAGTACCACTGTATATTCTCACCTCACAACTGGACTCTGATGGAGACGAACATCCGG